AGGGACAGTGCCCAGGCCCAGAGTTCAGGCCCCACGACTGGACCCCCCCCCAAAAAAAAGCCAAGTTGACTCAACCATTATTGGGAGGTTGATTCAAATACCCAGTGGACCAAGTATACATGCCAAACTTAAAGGGCCTGTGGAAGTCTGGAATTGTGATTCAGAAACAGCTTGGATCAAGAACAATAAACAAATACAAACCCTGGTAGAAGATTGATGGGACAAGCCTTAACCTACTGAAGCTAACATTTACCAATGAATGAGTGCATGGAGGTTTATCCAGCTTATAAATCTAGAAGCAGTGGACTTCTCCATATCACAGAGTTGTTTATATGTATCCAACGTGCATGCTATATTAGGGATAAATAACCTACTTGTCACAAATTTCATAGATGTATTTGGAAGCTTTATGTTCAGAGTATAGGGGAATGAAAGCATGTGAATAGCATAACAAGAACAAAAAAATTCCCAAATAATGTTACCTGGATTTTATTATATGCTAGGAAGAGTTTCTCTAGTTTTTCTAAAGACTGCAGTTTGCTCAGCTCTCGGATCCGGTTTTCCTCTAGGTGAAGTGCTAGCAGAGCACTTGGCTTGGCGAAAGCAGTTTCATTAAATGTTCTGATGCGGTTGTGGTCTACTACCAACTCCTGAAGGAGCACTAGGCTGTCGAGCCCTTCAAGCTGACAGATTTCATTCCCTAAAACAAGATAAGTCATCATATAGTGAGTGAGCCCCAGTTTCTGGAATTAAAGATCATCTATATTCATGTAAATACTTTTTGTCAAGTGATTTTTAAGTACATTATGTCTCAAAATGTTACTATACAAATGAATCTTTTCCTACCCCAAATAAACCACCTTTCCCAAAATGAGTTTATCTAGCTTTAGTATTTCCTATTGCCAATCTCTTAATGAAATTGAAAAAAAAATTGGATTCTTTTTCTCTCCATCTGCTATCTAGTTAGTCACAATCCTAATATTTCTTCTTTTTTAACTGTTTTTTAGATTTACTAGTCCTGTCAGCACCTTTGCAATTCAGACTCTTAGTATTATGTCATTCATATGGTATAGAAAATGTATGTTCTTTGGAGTTGGATGGATGGAGTTGACTCTACCACAACATGTACTAGTGCAAATTATTTAGCCTCACTGAACCTCTACTTTTCTTCCCTCCTTCCTTCCTTTCTTTTCTTTTTTTCCTTTCCTTCTCTCTCTTTCTCCTTCCTTCCCTCTCTTCCTTCCTCTCTCCCTCCTTCCTTCCTCCCTTCTTTTCTCCCTGTCTGTCTTTCTCTGTGTCTCTGTCTTGCTCTCTCTGTCTTTTTTTTTTATATTGTCAGGCTGGCCTTGAACTTGAGAGTTTGCTTCTATCCTTACTGGAATTATAAGTGTGTGCTACCACACTTGGCTGTCATTTGCTTTCCCTTATCCTTAACTTTTCTCTTTCCTTTCTCCTTACTCCTTTCCTTTCTTTCCTTTTCCTTTCTCCTTCGTCTTCCCTTCCCTTCCCTTTCCTTTTCTTCCTCTCTCCTTCCCTCTCCTCCCCTTTGTCTCCCTTTCTCAGTGTGTTGAACCATGCTATGAGGAGGCTATAAGGCCTGTGCAATGACTCCATAAATGATAGTGATAATAGTCAGTATAGACGGCGGCCTCACTCCCTGTGGAACAATGCTTGGCTCAGATTTGCCAATGTCACCATGGCAACTGCACATACTGCCTTGTCAGATTAACACAGACATTCCAGAGTTAGGTTATTTGTGGGGGAATTCATAAATGTGCTTTAAAAAAGATCTGCCATTAGTATGCCTGATTTCTCCTTCTCCTTCTTCTTCTCCTTCTCCTTCTTCTTCTTCTTCTTCCCTCCTTCTTTTCTTCTTGCTCCTCTTCCTCCTCCTCCTCCTCTTTCTCCTTCTCTTTTTCCTCCTCTTTCTCTTTCTCCTCCTCCTCCTCTTTCTCCTCCCCCCCTTCTTTTTCTTTTTGGTTATCAACCAAAATTCCAAAATTTTGACAAGCAAAAAAAGAATGTCTCTTAGAAAAAAATTACTAAGATCAGATATCCAAATTTCTCAACAATCTTACCAGCAGATTTCCCAACCTTGATCTTACTTCATTTAATAATTAATGTTTTCAATACTCATGTTTCCTCATGCTACTTTTTAGATATTTTTTTAAGAATATAAGATCCTATCCTCTTGTGGACTATATTCTGTCTAAATTTCTTTGCCTGACTCTCCATAATTTGGTCCTGCTGGGCATTTACCTTCAATTGTTCACTATTCCACAAATTTCCAAAAATTATACTTCCTACCAAACTAAATAAAGCCCTTTCTATATTGATTCTTTGAATCTGATTATTTTTTAGAGACTTTCCCAAAGCACTTTATAGTCTTTGATTGAACTTGTTGGCCTATAGACAACAGTCACAGATGGGAACTCCTTCCTTCCTTCCCCTGCTTACAAAGATCTGTTATTCTCACTTTCACTACATTCTATCAATCCTTCAGAGTCCTAGAGATGTCAAGGATTAATGCTTTGATTTCTCTTTCTTTCAGTTTTTATTACACTCAAATTAGTAACACACAGTCATACAAATTAACTTTGTCTAAATGTATAACCATAGGTGGAGTTACAACTACTTTAGGGCCAGGATCTCAGTCATGTATAACCACAATAATATAGGACTTCATATCTTTCATAGTACTTAGCACAATTCTGGGTTTCATAAATACTTGAGAATTACTCAGTTGTAACATTTATTTCTTTTTCAGTTAAATATGATATAAAATTAGATTATGATGTAATGCTCCATGTAGCTCCACTGTATTTTATTTTCCTTCAAAAATGGCTTTTGAAAACACGCAGATAACCAAAGAAAAATGCATTTTGATTATGAGATATTTTGTAAACAAATGAGTAAATGGTAATGCTTGTATTTACTTACCAAAACAAGGTATCAATTGTCATTTTAAAATATTTACTCAAAGGGATGGTAGGAGAAAAACAAAGGAGGAGGTAACAATGCTTGACAGGAAATGTACTCATTACCTTACTAATGTAACTGTAACCCCTCTGTACAGTATTCTTACAATAAAAAACATAAAATATTTACTCAATAGCAGTGTTTCTACTCACCCTGTAAAAAGAGGAATCTTAAGTTTACTAATCTGTTAAGTTGTAGCTGGATTAAATTACAAATTCCATTGTATCCCAAATGAAGAACCTCTAAAGTTTGCATTATGGGAGGCAGATTTTCACTGCTCACTGTATCTCTGAAACACAAAGGTTGGGACTATGAACTTAATTTCAAATCAGCTATAATTGTATAAAGACAGTTTTATATATTGAAGTTAAGAAAAAGAAAAAATGAACTTGTTAATATATCAGAATTAAGCTATAAGGTATAATGCTTTTATATTTTATGTAATATTCTTTATCTTTAAAAATACTTTCATGAGTTAAGTACCAGTAGGTTCTGCCTGTAAGCCTAGCTATTCAAGAAGCTGATATCTGAGAATTATAGTTTGGTGAAGGAGGAAGTTCATGAGGCTCTCATCTCCCATTAACCACCCAAAAGCTGTAGCTAGTGTTGAGCAAAAATAGCTAAAGGACAGCATCCAGGCTTGAGTTCATACCCAAACACACACACACACACACACACACACACACACACACACACACACACACTGACTGCTTTATATGGTATATGGTAAAGAAAAGTGAATAAAAAGTAAATAAAATAGAAAAAGTAAAAATGAAAAATGGTAACTAATGTAATCAATTAAGAAAAAGAAAAAAATTCTTACATTTGAAAAGATAAGAACTGTCATTACTCTTAGATGACATGATCTCATGCTTAGTGAATCCTAACAAATCCACCAAAACCTACTTGAAAATAACAAAGCAAAGTTACAACACAAAATAGTTACAAAAGTCTATTGAATTTCTAAACCAACAGCAAACAATCTAAAAGTAAAATGAAGAAAACAAATTTACAACTGTACAAAACAGGATCAAATAGTTCAGAATAAATTCAACTGAAGTATAAATTTTGCACACAGAAAGAAACAAAATTTAGTTTAGAAATAATATCTTATTAATAAAGACATTAAAGACTTATGAACCATTTTAAGTTAATGTTTGCATATATTGTGGGGTAAGGCGTGAGGTCTAAATCCATGTACTCACATGTGGAAATCCATTTGTTTGGAACCTTATTCTTTCCCCAACTGAATTACCTTGACACTTTTGCTAAAAATTAATTAGCCATAAATGTTAGTTTCTGAATTTGCACTATTTCAACCAACCATCTTTTCCAGCACCAGACTTATTTCATCACTACACACACACACACACACACACACACACACACACACACACACACACACACACACACACGTATATAAATTTATTTATTTTTCTGTAGGTCATAAGGCTTGAACTCTGGGCCTGGACACTGTCCCTGAAGTCTTCAGCTCAAGGTGAGCACTCTACCACTTGTGCTGCAGCACCAGTTCCAGTTTTCTGGTAGTTACTTGGAGATAAGAGTCTCCTGCCTGGGCTGGCTTTGAACCATGATCCTCAGATCTCAGTCTCCTAAGTAGCTAGGCTTACAGGCATTTGTCACTATGTTTTAATAATAAAATTTGAAGTCAGGGAGTAAGGATAAGTATGAGTGAAATGTTCATGTAGTTTTAATGATAGCCTCAAAGAAGAAACAACTCAAATGTCCATCAATAATAAAGTTTGTCATGTGATCAATGTAATACCATTCAGCAGTCAAATGAAATAAATTGCTGACACTTGCAACAACATAGATAATCCCAGAAGATTATGCTAAGTGAAAGGACCAGATATAAAACAGCACTTACTATGCAATTTCAATCTTAAGAAATTCTAGAATTATAGAGATAGAGCAAAAATGTGGGAGAGGGGGACTGAGCATAGAAATGAGGGAACTTTTTTTTTTTGGTTGGTCATGGGGCTTGAACTCTGGGCTTGGGCGCTGTCCTTCGGCTCTTCAGCTCAAGGCTAGCACTCTGCCGCTTGAGCCATGGCTCCCCTTCCATGAGGGAACTTTTTGTGATGGGAATATTTTATATCTTGATCATGGTAAGGGTTGTATGATAATACATTTCCAAAGTGCATTAGGTTGTACACTTAAACTGGTGGATTTCATTATATGCAAACTGTACCTCAATAAAAGTGAGAACAAAAGGACTGTTATTTGCTGGAAAAGCCTGAAAAGTATTCTGACTTGATGATTCTAGTGTCTGTATGTTTGTGTATATATTTATCTGTGTATATATATATATGTATTTATGAGTATATCTATATATACATATTTATGTGTATAGTAAAGTGTGTACCCTCATTTCATAAAGGATCTTTGTGATTTTGTGTTGGTGCTGAGGATATTCAGTGTCCTAAAATCTAATTTAGAAATTAAAAAAGTAATGTTGGAAAAAATGAGTCCATACTGAGTAACGGGTTCCTTTGTGGCATGAAAATGTTCTAGAATAAAGTTGTGGCAATGGGTTATACAATTTGTGAGCATACTAAAAATCACTATGTTGTACACAAAGGGTGAGTTATATAGTTGTGAGTTGAAAAATAAAGAAACCTAAGGATCATTAAATCTACAAGACTAATTTTCCCTTTCTATACAGTATAAGTATGAAATAGAGGAAGCAGGGGAAAATAAAAGATGAGTCTGAGTATTTTTTCTTTGTGAAGTCTTTTTGGCATATTAGCTATGAAGTAATTATTAAGATAAGTACAATGTATACACTAGAATATGCTACTTCTTTTTAAATTCCCAACCAATGTTATTTGTAATTGTATAAAAGTAAAAGAATAGTACCTATTTATTTTTGAAGGTCCTTGCTGCCCATAGCCACTTGAAGGTACTTTCTGGTAGAGCAGTTGTCTGTTGGTTAAGTGAGCCTGTGGCTTTGCTCTAGGTATGATTGATTCAATATGGTTATAGTTGAGGCATAAGACCTACAGAAATAATCACTTATTAATCAACTATAATCTATGAAGTAAAAAGTATGGATAATACTTAGAATACACAACACACAGTAGTTAAATATTAGTTTTGCAGATAAAAAATTTATATCTCAAATGACTTAGATTTGAATTTGTGTGTGTGTGTGTGTGTGTGTGTGCTGGTCCTGGCACTTGAACTTGGGCTTAGGCACTGCTTTGCCTAAGGCTAGTACTCTACCACTTGAGCCACAGTTTCACTTCTGACTTTTTGGTGGTCAATTGGGGATAAGTCTCATGGACTTGCCTGCCTGGGATGGCTTAAAACCTTGATCTTCAAATATTGGCCTTCTGGGATTACAGACTTAAATGTGTTTTTAATGATCCTAAATGATGGGAAATTATGATACCACAACTCCTGCTTTCTCTAAACTAGAGATGGATAAAATAGCTCCTTGGTGAGAAACTTGTTTCCCTACATTTAAAAGAATTTGGTAGATGGCTGAGTTGAGTCAATAGGGAAGAAGCAATGAGGCTGCTTTTAGAACCTTACTGTTCTCAAATTCATTTCATGCCTGTTCACTGAACATGTAGCCTGCCCTGAGTTAAGATGCATGAAGGACAATCATATAAAACTGAGGCCAAATAAAAATAACCTTGGAAGTCAATACTTTCTGGAAGCTTATTAAAGTAAAATGGTATGGATAAAACTTGGAATGTAACATACTTTAATTACATATTAGTTCTGAAAATAAAGTAAAAATTTATATCCCAAATGATTTAGACTTGAATTATTTGTGTGTATGTGTGTGTGTGCTGGTCTTGGCACTTGAACTCAGGGCTTAGGCACTGTTTTCCTAAGGCTTTCTTTAACTTAGTAACATTGGAATCCATTTTAATCCAAAGCAAAGATTAGAACTTGTACTGAAAACTTTGAAAGAAAAGATGGATTTGTGTGTGACTCACCTGTATATTAGGAAGATAGATGAGCCCACTAAATGAGGTCAGATGATTGTTCTGTAGATTCACATTAAACACATTTATAAACTGGTCAACTGGAATCAAATCTACAGTTCTGAATTTAGACAAAGTAAATAGTTATTATTTATTTTATTTTTTTATTTTTTATTTTTTACTGGTCCTGCGGCTTGAACTTAGGGCTTGGGCACTGTCCTTGAGCCTCTTTGTGCTCAAGACTAGCATTCTACCACTTGAACCACGGCACCACTTCCAGCTTTTCTGAGTAGTTTATTGAAGATTCTCACGGGGACTTTTCTGCCTGGGCTGGCTTCGAACCTCAATCCTCAGATCTCCGCCTCCTGAGTAGCTAGAATTACAGGTGTGAGCCACCGGCACCTGGCAATAGTTATTATTTTAACAGGACAGAAAAAAATATTGGAAAAGATGACTTCTACCATTTATAAAACTCCCAAAGGCATTTTAAAAAGCCCTCACCTAACAAATTCAATAAAAAGGAAACACTTAAAATGTTAAGAGATAAATGTTCAACTAAATGTATTTTTTTTGCAGTACTGAGGTTTGAACTCAGGGCCTTGCACTTGGTAGGCACATTGAGCTACACCCTCAGTCCTTTTTGCTTTAGTTACTAGTTTGGATCCTGAATATAATACCATATTCACATTAACGGTATCTGTGTTTGAGGATGCTATTGTAATGAATAAGGTGTGATTAAAAGTGTTAGGTAATTTTTATTTTATTTTATTTTTTTGCCAGTCCTAAGGCTTGAGCTCAGGGCTTGGGCACTGTCCCCCAGCTTCTTTTGCTCAAGGCTACTGTTCTACCACTTGAGTCACAGTGGCACTTCCAGCTTCTTCTGTGTATGTGGTACTGAGGAATCGAACCTAGGGTTTCATGCATGCTAGACAAGCATTCTACCACTAAGGCACATTCCCAGCCTAATTTATATTAACTTTGATCTTCATAAGTTTCTTAGTAAAAATGTAATCAGATTTTTGCTAAATATCTGAACAAAACACAAGAAGTAAATCTAGTGTGTTTGGTTGCAAAAGAGAAAGAGAAACAAAATCTGAGCAAGAAATTGGTAACATTTAAAATCATAGCTTTGTGCTAGGATATAGCTTAAGGCAAAGTGCTTGCCTAGCAAGTGCAAAGTCCTGGGTTCAACCTCTAGCACTGAAAAAGAAAAGATTTTAAAAATACAGTTAAAAAACAAGAAAAAAACATAGCCTCCAATAATAAAAAATTATTATCACATTTCAAAGGGTTGTGGCATGAAATTAGAAGTAGGAAGGACGAATTAATGGGGATCTTTGGAGAAAAATCTATAAATATTTAGCATAATAAAAGTAATAATAATTACATATATAATCATAATATCAAATAGCCTATAGTGAAATGTACCTGATAGATGATGAAGTCCAGTTTAGTTCTTGCATCTGGGTGAAGTTTGAATGTCCTTGTCGTTCTGCAATCATGTCTGACGTAAGTCTGCCGCCAAACAAATCCTTGGCACTTTCAGTCTCTGGTGGTTCCTACATGAGAACATTTAAAAATGATATCCTCTCTGGGAACTGGTAGTTCACACCTGTAATTCTAGCTATTCAGAAAAGGCTGATATCTGAGGATTGCAGTTTGAGGTCAGCTCAGGCAAGAAAGTGGACGGGATTCTTCTCCAATTAAACTGGAAAAAGCCAGAAGTGGGAGCTGTGGCTCAAGTGGGTAGAGCACTAGCCTGGAGCAAAAACAAAGCTCAAGGACAGTGCCTAGGCCCTTAGTTTAAGTCCAAGAATGGGTATGCATACACACACACACACACACACACACACACACACACAGAGTGATGCCCTCTCTTACAGATGATCATATCACATGAATTCTATGGTTCTAGGTAAAAATGGGGTAGGCTCATTTCTCCCTGTTCCTCTATTAAACACAGCTAACCCCCCTTCACATCATACACATAAAAGGAAAAAAATTATTTGAATGACAGCACAATTTTCCTCATCAATGAAACTAGAAGATGTGGCACATTTTTCAAGTGATGAAAGTGTCAACCTCGAATCCTATATCAAGAGAAAATAGTATTCCAAAATGAAAAGGGAAATCAAGACATTATCTGATGACAGAAAAACCAAGCCAAATGTCATCAGAAATCCATCCTAAAAGATGGCTCAAGGAAAAAAAGGTAGAAACTAAGGATGTTGTCTCCTACATTTGTTGCTGTAATCAAAATCTTTGAGATACTTTTTTTAGATTAAGATGCCTAGGTGTCAACTTGTTTGTAGATTTTTTGAATCATTACACTTGGGGTTTGGGTTAGGTACCTAATAAACCCTGCAGGATGTTTTGGTGCATAACCAGGACTAAGAATCACAAGATTGATTGGCTATAATGTTTAGATGACTTTCTCTGACTTATCCATAGCATGGTTAATCTGATCATGTTTCTTCTTGTCAACCTATGGTAAATCTGTTTTTCTTGTTTGTTTTGAATGTTTGAAGCTCTCTCTGCTAAATTTTCACCTACCTTTTTCCTTTTATAAAAGAAATACTATATGAAAAGCCCTTAAGAGTTCAAACTCCAATACCATTAAAGGAAAAAATGAAATATTGTTTTAAAAGAGATCTTAGTATTGTCTTTGAAGACAAGGAACCCCATTGTATATATTATTGTTTTGTGTTACAGTAAGTAAAGACCAAATATATTTACTGAATACAAATGTTCCCATCTAAAGTTATATACATTGACTTGGTACATCCTAATAATGGAATAAATAATTTTCTCTACTGAAAAAAAAAAGATGGCTCAAGGAAAGTTTTGTTTTGGTTTTGGATTTTCTTTTTCTGGAGACAGGGTCTCACGATGTAGCCGAGGCTATCTACAAACTTCCTACCTCAACCCTTGGAATTCTGGGATAACAGGCATTTGCCACTATAACAAGCCTCAAGAAAATTCTTAAAGCAAATAAATAAAGTAAAATTTGGAATTTAGGAAAGAAGAAAATACAATAATTTTACTATGCATCAACAACTTTCCTTCTAGTTCATCTTTGGTAAGGTTGAAGTAAAAACATATCGTATTGAAGTAAGGAGATTGGGTTTATGCTTCCCCTAGATAATTGGCCCTTGATTTCCCCTGATTATTTCCCTAGATGGTTTGCTTTTCTATCAGGTTTAAACATCCTTATCTGGTTTTCTTTGCTTATGTATAACATTTTTGTTAGGTTTAATTCCACACACCTTATGTGGTATTGGCCTATATAAGCTTTGTGCTAAGAGCATTAGGGGCTGCTGGTCTTTGCAACATGGGTCCACCAGCAGTCCCCTCATAATCTGGTCTCTTAAGTGGTGGCTTCTCTGCTTCTTGTGACTGAGTTTCACAACAGTCTTACGTGGCTCTTAAATTTCTTTTAGCAGCACTGAAGCTTTAACTTGGGGTCTTGTGCTTGCTAGGCAGGCACTTGGCCACTTCAGTCATGAACCCAGTTTCTTTATTTCCTTTTAAGTTTTTTTAATTTTTTTTAGTTAGTTAAATTTTTTTTCTCCCAGTCCTGGGGCTTGAACTCAGGGAGTGCATGTTATCCTTGAGCCTCTTTGTGTTCAAAGATAGTGGTCTACCACTTGAGCCACAGAGCCACTTCCAGCTTTTTCTGAATAGTTTATTGGAGATAGGAGTCTCATGGGACTTTTCTGCCTGGTTGGCTTAGAATCATGTTTCTCAGATCTCAGCCTCTTGAGTAGCTAGGGTTACAGGCATAAGCCTCCAGCACTTGGCTCTTTCTTTTGTTTTTTAATTTATTTTTCAGGTAAGGTCTTTGTGTAATTCTTAAAATAATCACTAAACAAGATACATGAAAAGATACACTAAAATACACTTTAGAATAATAAGAGAATGTTAAAACTTTCCAAGAAGTACGGTGCCAGTGCCTCATGCCTGTAATCCTAGATACCCAGGAGGCTGAAATCTGAGGATCATAGTTTGAAGCTAGCCAGGCAGAAAAGTCCCATGAGACTCTTACCTCCAATTAACCATTGAAAAACTGGAAGTCTTGCTGTAGCTCAAGTGGTAGAGCACAAGCCTTGAGCACAAAGAGGCTTAGGGACAGCACCCAGGCCCTGAGTTCAAGCTCCACAACCACCACCATCACCAACAAAATTCTAAGAAGCTTATAGAAAAGCAAAAGAGATAAACAGAGGAAATACTCCCCTCCCCTGACAATAAAATGACAAACTTGGGCTTTAATATATTAGTAGCTACATTAAATGTAAATGACCTATATTTACCAATTATATATAAACACACACACACACACACACACACACACACACACACACACACACGATAACCCAACTATAAGCTCTTGTCAAGAAACCACAAATAAATGATGCAGATGAAAAGCTTTTTTAAAAAGAACAAGATATACCATTAACATCAATCAAAAATATGAGAACTGACTATATTAACATTATAAATTATATTTCAAAGCAAAGAACATTACCAGAGAAGAGAAAAGCATATTATCTAACGATAAATGGGTCAATCCACCAAGACATAATAATCCTAACCAACAGTGCTACAAAAATGTGAAGCTATAGTACTCATTTTTTATGGTAAACTAACATTTATATAGTAAACTAACATGCTTTTCCTTTGAGGTACTGAAGATATAAAGTTCCTAAACAGTTGTCTTCAATAAGGTGATAATCTTGGATAATCTACATGGATCTGATTCAAAGAACTGCAAGGCCTTAAAGCTGAGGCTTCCTGAAGCAGATAAGAAAATCTACCTATGGAGAGCAGGTTTGGTCCATGATGGGAATTTTAACCTTCCTATAACCTTCTGATCATGATGGCCTACCTATGGATAGCTTAGGCAGTACATAGTTGTCTGTCTGTCTGTCTGTCTGTCTATCTCTATCTATCTATCTATCATCTATCTATCATCTATCTATCATCCCTATTTTACTAGTTTTTATTTTCTGGTTGAATCCTAGATAACAGTCTTAAAGTAAGTTGTTGTTGTTGTTGTGCTGGTACTGGGGCTTGAACTGAAGTCTTTGCACTTGGCTTTTCTGCTCAAGGCTGGTACTCTACCATTTGAGCCATACCTCTACTTCTGGATTTTTGCTAGTTAAATGGAGTTAGTCTCATGGACTTTTTAGCCTGGGCTGGCTTCAAACCTCAGTCTTCAGATCTCCTGATTAGCTAGGATTACAGGCATGGGCCATCAGCAACCTACTAAAAAATAAGTTATAAAAACCATATTTATTCAGCCTTAGGAATATTTAGAAATGTTTTGCATTTTCAACAATCATGCAAACAATATTTGATTGATGTTCTTTTAAATGAGGAGGTGGAAAACTTCTGCATTTTTCTTGTGGAGAGTAGGTCAATATTGTAGACTCTCTGTGATGAGTATTTTCTTTTGTCTTAGGGTGAAAAGAGTCATGGGCTATATATAAACAACTAGGCATAAATGTATTCCAATAAAATTTTATTACAAAACAGGTGGCAGGACACATTTGGCCCAGGGGCCACAGTTTGCCAGCCTTATTTTAGACAAGTGGTTGAGCTTGACCTCCATAAAACTGAGTAGTCATTTGATCTACATTTACTCAAATTCCCTTCCTCATGCCACATCTCACAAGACTTCGTATTTGAATACACATTGCTAATGCAAAGTGAGTCTCTTTAAAATAGAAGCACTGAGGAAGAAGGGATATAATGAAAGCATGCTACCCAAATCACTCTTCAGCGCTTTGATGTCCATGTCTTCCCTTAGCTCCAAAGAAAGCACTGTAATTGATTACCTTTCTACAAAGTTTTGGACAGATTGACAATGAGGCACAGTTGTCCATGATTTACTATTAAGGAGTCATGTAATTTGGATTGAGTCACATAACTTCAATTAACTTTTCTATAGTTCCTTGTGCTTATCTATAAATGGTGTGACCCTACGTCATTTTCAAAGCCCATTTGTATCTCAAAAATTCTAGAATTATGTTGTTCCTTTACCTACTCTGCATCCCTTCCATGGCTTCTTTCCTATTTATGTATCCTAAGTAAAATTATGAGTCTCGGATTTCCTTGCTTTCTCTACTCCTGTATTTTAAATGGCTAACTTTTTTTTCAAATTCCTTCTAAGTTTAACATAATGTAAATTTCCATATTCATATTTAGTCTTGTGATTTCAACCGTCTGATATCTCCATATAAAACCTGGTGTATCTAATATTATTCACTGTATTCCTGAAAACAGCTTTTCTTTCTCTACTTATGACCAGTTATTTTTTTTTTTGTTGGCATAGACTCAAACCTTGTAGACATCTCTTAATTCTTCCTTATCCTTGCTCTTGGGCTGGCAAATTCTGTCCGTTTTCCCTAGTATTTTTCCTATTTTTCAGCTGTTTTAGAAAATGTTTTTAGGCTCATAAAGATGAAAGGATTGCTGAGCACAGTTTTTCTATCCCATTCCATAAAATTGTGCCATTTATGTTTTGTTTGCAGTGCTGGGATCAAACCCAGGGCTTCACATATATTAGGCAAGCACTCTGCCACAGAGCTATGTCCCAGGCCTTGTTCTTTATTTTTAAAGCATTGCATTTGGTGGGTGCAAATGTAAAACAGTATCTTTTCTCCCTTTCCATCCCAACAAATTTGCCAGATTAAAAAAAATATAAAGTCCAGGTCTAAAATGAGCTTGGGATACTGAGGCTTTAATAAGCATAATAAGTGAACCAACAAATGAGACGAGTCATAAAACTACTTACAATTGCGATGCCATCTAAAGCTTTCAGTTCTGGAAGATGAAATATTACAAACAACCGGTAATTTTCTTGATTCCATATAATAATGTTTCCATATAGATCTAGGATGACCAAGTTGCATAATGTCTAGGTAATAAGATACATAGATTATATATTAAGTGGGAGGGTTATCCTTTTCAATCACTAAGGTGTGATTCTGGGTAGTATTTCTCTGGACTGTGTTATATAGTCAGAATCCCCTTTAGAATACTGGTATTAAATGCTTTATCTATCAGTAGTAAAGACTTAGTGGGAACTTGGATATGTTTAAGACAATATACTTTGTTTATGGAATATTGACTTATTTAAATGGTATGTTTGTATGCCGTATATAAACAGATTAAATTGGAATGGAAGATGCTGTCGGTTGAAAAGAGATAAAGCAGACATGCTTTTGGCTTCTGAGAGAATAGAAGAATTATTCTTTAGGGGAAATGTGTTTTCTTGTTAGGCCAGACAATTTGATATACTTCTTTAAAAAGAAATCCCTGAGTACCTGTGGATAAGAAAGATTAAATCAAAGGGAGTAATGTACAAGTAAAAAGGTTCATTCTGTTGCTGATATGATGAGGTTGCCTCTTTGGCTTTAGAAATGATATTGAGGGAACAGGTTGGAGAGGAGGCTGAAGGCTATGTAAAGACAAGAAATGAAGGTAAGCTTTTGGTAAGGAGCTAAAGTCCTGGTGGGGGCTGGGCGGGGGGAAACAGTGGTCAATATGAGACTCTCAGTGTGAGAAAGTGACCACTGACTTTAAGAAACAATGACTCACACATTGCATTTGAAGCAAATTCCTATTCTGCATTGTATAAACAGTCCATTTTGTTCCAACATTTGATAAAGCTTGTAACAAATTTGAGTTAGTGGTTTCTTTTCTTTCTTTCTTTTTGGCCTTAATCTCACGGCCTGGGAGCTGTCCCTGAGCTTTTACATGCAAGGCTATTGCTCTACCGCTTTGGTCCACAGCACCATTTCTGGTTTTTTGGTGATTCAGTGAAGATAATAGCTTCTCATGGATTTTCCTGTCTAGGCTGGCTTTGAATAGAAATCCTCAGCCCAGCTTAGTGGTTTCTTTAAAGAGAGAAAATCTGTGTGAAAGTGTCCAGAAAGAGTTGGAATCACAGATAAAAATGGGAGTTCACTATAGAGCCACAGAAATAAAAATAGCATGGTACTGATACAAAATCAGACATGTAAGTCAATTAAGTAGAAGACTCCAAAATAAACCCACACAGCAACAGCTTATATGATTTTTGACAAAGAAGCCAAACACATAAGTTGCAGAAGACAGCTCTCAAACAACTGGTATTGGTAAAACTGGAAATCTATATGTAAACCAAAATGATTTCTTTCTCTCATCTTGTACAAAAATCAACTCAAAATGGATCAAAGACCTTAATGTCAAATGAGACCTGAAATTCTGAAATGACTGGAGGAAGATGTAAGGGATCTAGACATAAGCAATGAATGGCTTTCCAAAAATGACTTCAATAACTCGGAAAATAGCAGAAATTGACAGATGGGACTGCATGGCATCTTACAAAAAGGAAGATCTTTGCTGGGAATGAATACCCAGAGCATTTTATAAACAGTTGACAAGTTAAATACCAAAAAGAACATGTAATATATAAAATGAATGGACAGATGAATTGAACAGGCACTGTTCAAATGTAAGGTCTGAATGAATGGTCAAGAAACACATAAAAAAATGTTCAATATCTTCAGCCATCAGGGCAGTGCACATAAAAACTTCACTGAGATCCTGTCTCACTCCAGTTAGAAAGGCCATCATTGAGAAAGCAACAGAAAATATTGGCAGGGTTTCAGGGGGAAAGGAAATTTTACATACACACTGTAGGTAGCAATGTAAATCCAATTAGTGAGGCACTGTGGAAATCAATATAAAGAATCTTCAAAAGAATAAAAATAGACCCAGGGTAGTCACAGGCATGTGGCTCCCAAGAAGAACCCTGGCTGAGGAAAACCTGGAATGCTCAGTTTAAGCACAGTTAGGGTAATGGAGGACTGACAGCTCTGTATCAACTGAGTTGTGAAATACTCATAGGAAGGTTTGACCAACCTTGGTCAAAATTGCATGCAGTAAATCGGTGAATAACACTGGCTAAACATACTGTTTGATCTAGCTCTACCACTTCTGGGCATATGCCTAAAAGAATTTAAACCAGTTAACTACATGTTTATTGTAGAACTATTCACAATAGGAAATTAGCCTACATGCTCATAAATAAATAATTAAAATGTGATATATATGAATGCTGGAGCAAAATGTAATTATGTCATTGTAGGAAAATGGATGTAACTGAAAATTTATGATGTGAAATGAGTGAAATGCTAGACAACTATCACATGCTTTCTCCCATATGGAGTTTAGAGAGGAAAAAAGAATATGAAAGTAAAGGTCTGAATGGGAGGTAAAAGAAGGTAATGGAGATGAATATAATCAAATTATATCATATGACTATAAGGAAATATCACCATGAAACTCCTTTGTGCAATTAATAAGCACTAATAAAATTAAGCCAGAAGTTTTCAGAGTGAAGATTGGTGTCATTAAAATTATACACAAACATACATATACATATAGGTATATATTTTAGTAAATGTATTAGTAATATATAATATACATATTAGTAAATATATGGAATATATTTCACTAACTTATTAAACTATATATTATATAATATATGTAAATATAATAATGTATAAATATGTAACATAATATAAAATATTAAGCACATAATACAATATATATTAGAATATGACATACAAAATGTTTAATAATTCCTTATTTTTTTACATCTTCAAAATTCTGTTTGGTGAACATACATTACATTATTTCATTATGATAATAAACAATAAATGTTTTTAAAAGTGAAAAGTTACTACCCCAAAAAGTTACCTTTAAATTGTAGATCTCTTGATTGACAGCAATATAGTTATTGCTTACGTATAATTCAAGCAGCGTAAACGTTTTTTGTAAACCACTGAGTGAAGTGATCCGGTTGTTCTCAAGAGAAAGGAAGTGGAGATGAAGCATGTTTTCAAATGTATGCTTTTCCAGGCCAGTGAGAAGATTATTATTTAGGCTGAGACGGGTTAATTTAGTTAGTTTGGAAATGCCTAGAAAAATAAGCAAATTCAAGAAAAGATTCAGACAGAACTAAGAGGTTAATTAAAAAATTAACCGGCTGGTCATTTTCACTTGTTTCTTTTTTTTCTAAGTTCACATGGCTTCAAGGCTTATGTAATACCAACTATTATTGCTTTTCTTTTCTTTTTTCAAAATGATAGACTTAAATCATATGTATGAAGTCTCATCCCATGCATCAAACTCTAATTTTGGAATTTTGGATTTCCAAGTAGATTCATTTTTTTTAGGTGTTAACAAAAAGTCCCTACATGCTAAAAAAAATGGGTGAAAGTTTTTCTTTCAAAGAACATTAATATGATATAATTAACATTCTTTTTACACTTACAGTACCATACTCTACAAAGTTCAAAATAATTGCCAGTCTTCATTTGAAAGCACTAATAATAAGAAACTAGATTACGACTCTTTGAAATGCATTACTCACAGAATCAACTGCATTAGAGAATTTAGAAAAGAGAAAAGAGAATTTAGCCCAGTTATCCTGCTGTACGCCTAACAGTACTTTTAAGACAGAAGTTTAGAATATCCATATTATCAGAACCTGAATTATCTATTATGTAACATATGCACTTCATAATTGCAGGATAATGCAGAACTTTCTTTTCTTCCCTTTTCCTCTCCTCCCCCTCCCTCTATCTTTCTTGAACTTATGATCTTCCTACCTCAGCCTCCCGAATGATGGGATGATAGGAGTGTACCACTAGCTTGATGAAGATAAGAACTCTGAAGTCATAGTGGATTTGGAACCACTGATAAATTATGTTAACTCCTGAGCCTTGATTTCTTTATTCATACAAAGGACATGCTGAAATCTACTTCTAAGAGGTTATATAATTAAATGGAACTTAAAAATCACATTCAACTTATTTTCAGATTCAAAACATTAAACAATGATAAGAATGAAACCTAAGGGGAGTCAGAAAGTATTTAGCACATTTCCTTTAAATGCTACATTTTTAGTCTGCAGATAAGCATAAGCCAAAAAGAAATGAAGAATCTTGAAAACTTGGTGAGATAAGGGAGGAAAAGGTCTCTTATACACTCTGCCTCAGAAAGATAGGTGTTGCTACTGAACTTTAAATAGTCAAAATATAATACTCTCTTATTATTGGGGCATTGTTAGTGTGCTTAATTTATGTGGATCCATAGAAAAGGTTGTGTTTAGTGTATGTGATGTTCAGTCTCTAGTGACATATACTTTTCATTTTCAGCAAAAGTCTTAAAATTTCCAAATAGAACTTTCAGTCCATATTTTGTGAAATAAACAGAATTGTTGGGTCTTTTTCCAAATATACCTCACTGATCCACTCATTTAGCTTTGCCTTCCAGTGTGAACATGCCAGTTATATTCTCTACGCATTTTGTTACAGAGGAGAGGAGAGACAGGGGAGGTAAATCAGCTTGCTGGGCTCACTAAATTTGTGAGCTCGTCCCAAATCCCATCAGTGTCTACTTAGAATTCTCTGCTGCAAACCTTCTTAGAAGTTCTATCTTTTGCTCTTATTCAGACATCCATATTGAAAGACTGAAGTGTGCCCATGTATCTTACCTTCTATCTTTGAGATGCAGTTCCCATCTAATGTGAGCTCTTCCAAATTAACACAGGATTCCAAGCCCTCTATTTTAGTGAGATTATTATTGCTGAAGGATGCCCATTTCAAATTTTCCAATTTTTCTAAATTGGTGATTTCAAAGAGATGTTGTCCATCTAAATTTAAGGCAGTTATCTATACAATAATTCACATTGTATGTTACTTCTGTATCTTGTAAGCAAATTCAATGTTATTAGATTTAAAAAGCTAACAAAATAATTCCAACATGATAAACGAATACTAAAATAATTCTTTCAAGAACTAAAGGTATGGCTTAGTTTACAAAAAAATTTGACTATTTGGCAAGACTGTAACTGCACAGGACTATTACTATAGTCTGGACACAGTGTTATTCAGATTCCGGTTTGTGCCAAGGGCTTGTTGCAGTTGGTTCTGAGCTGGCAGAACTTGCTACTGTCACAGCTCCTTCAGGAATGGACTCAGCTGCAGAGAGCCACCTTGCCCAAGGTCACCTTCCTTTTCAGGCTGGCTCATAGCCAACACTGGAGAGATACCAAGGGCTCAGCTTCTCATCCCATCTTGGGACAAATTTAAAGGCTATCCTAATTCCAGAACTCTCCATGGGGTCAGCCAATGACGCATTGGAGCTTACTATCAAAATATATCCCATAATAAAATACCCATTTTTCAAGCACTTCTTTTAGGCTAGCTCCTATCAAGTTTCTATATTCTCTTTTCCCCAGGTTCTATTTTTCCACACAGGTTCTAGAAAAGACTTTGGTATATTCAGGCAAACGTGTAGACTACAGTGCTTTGTCCCTGCCATATGAATTTCTACTATTTCTCTGGCTTTGAGCCTTTAAAATTGGCTGGTCTATTTTGACATGTTGTTGGAATCTACCCTTTGGTTTACTAAGTACCTTTATCCCAAATTTCTGATAGTGTGGCAATTATCGTTGAGGACTAGCTCCTATGACATCAATCCATAACTTAACCTTCCAATTTTAGTTTTTGCGATATGGTACATTTCTTATGTAATTTTTTCTAATACATTATCTTGTAAATTCTTTCCAACATTATCAAAACAAGATCGACAAATTAAAATTTTACATATTGGTATTTTTTACAACTTGGTATGGCTATATTGTCAATTAAACACTACATGATCTCCATTATATGTAGAGATGTTGTTGGTAAAAGAGTACAAAGTTTCAAGTACAAAAGTTAATAAATTGGGAAAGAAGCTTAGTGGTAGCATGCTTGTCAAGCACTCATAAAGTCCTGGGTTCGAGTCCTCAGTACCACATAAACAGAAAAAGCCAGAAGCGGTGCTGTGGCTCAAGTGGTAGAGTACTAGCCTTGAGCAAAAGCAGGTCAGGGAAAGTGCCCAGGCCCTGAGTTCAAGCCCCAGGACTGGAAAAAAAAGGGTAATAAATTCTGAATTATTATAACTAAAATTAAAAATACTATATTTCACACTGGAAATTTTCTAAGAAAATTGACCCTAAGGGCTGGGAAGGTGGCTCAGTAGTAGAGTGCTTGCCTTGCATGCATGATGCCCTGGGTTCGATTCCTCAGTACCACATAAGCAAAAAGAAAAAAGCTGGAAGTGGTGCTGTGGCCCAAGTGGTAGAGCGCTAGCCTTGAACTGAAGAGCTGAGGGACAGTGCCCAGGCCCAGAGTTCAGGCCCCAAGACTGGACCCACCCACCCCCCCAAAAAAGAAAATTAACCTTAAGAGTTCCTTTCTTACTGTATTTAATTTCATCTTTTTCAATTTTCTGTTAACTATGAACACAAATCAAAGCTAAATAAGAAAATCAATTTAAATTTAGCCTTTTCATTAATTTTAATAGCATTAGACTTTACCTTTAGGTGCCAGTTTCCACTTAGATGTAAATATGGTCCTAACCTTGAAATCTGTGTCAGAATTTTGGCAGTAGGCAGTATACTAAGTACTCGTGGTCTCTCTTCTTTAGAACTAGAATGCTGCAAGAGAGATAACTAATAAAATAATAAACATATGATGAATAAAAGATCATACAGATGTTCACAGTTAAAAATGTTTTGCTTCCCAAAGATAAATAGCCCAATAAATAGAATATTTGCCTTAAAATATATTCATATCCACATATATTTTAATCACTCTTTCTAACTGCTTTTGAAAATATTGAACTATTATAACATTTATACAACTTCAAAGGAATTACTGCAGTATAGACACCCTATAAATCCACTCGTAAACTATTTACCACCTGAAATAGTACTAATATCCTTAATCTCTCTGCAGACGCCCATCCTAAGCCTTTCCCTTAGATATAATCCCCATATCAATTTTTCATTTAGTTTCTCTGAAATTCCATGTTTATATCGATAAGCCATTTATCATTTACTCTTGCACATATTTGAGCTGTACATAACCAAATAAATGTACTTTTATGTAATAGGCTTTTATAGCTTAACAGCTTAGTTATAAACTTCATTTAGGCTGTTTGTAGTTGTAGCTTATTCATATGTCATTGCTGTATACTATTCTTAAGTTCCTGACCATGAACACTGGTGTTGATTGAGTTTGTTTGGTTTGCTTCTTTATTTATAGTATTATGGACCATATATGTGAGAATTTCTTTACAATGTGTATGAGGTTTTTTTTGGGGGGGTCTGGTTGTGGGGCCTGAACTCTGGGCCTGGGCACTGTCCCTCAGCTCTTCAGCTCAAGGCTAGCGCTCTACCACTTGAGCCACAATGCCACTTCCGGCTTATGTGGTGCTGAGGAATCGAACCCAGGGCCTCATGTAAGGCAAGCGCTCTACCACTGACCCACCTTCCTAGCCCAATGTATGAGGTCTTGAGGTTTGTATATATGTGTATAATAATGCCAACTTATTTTTACAACTACAATTGTTACTTTATATTCCTACTGAAATATGATATTGTTAAAAATTTTTTTTTAGGGTCCGGTCATGGGGCCTGAACTCTGGGCCTGGGAGTTGTCCCTCAGCTCTCCAGCTCAAGGCTAGCGCTCTACCACTTGAGCCACAGTGCCACTTCCGGCATTTTTCTTTATGCTTATGTGGTGCTGAGGAATCGAACCCAGGGCCTCAAGCATGCAAGGCAAGCCCTCTACCATTGAGCCACCTTCCTAGCCCTATTGTTTAAATATTAAGACAAGTTTTTTCCTTATAAATTCTAAATATACAAAGATTATATTTTGACACTTATTTTCAAATTTCTTTTTCTAGTACATATCTTGTTTTTTTTTTACTTTCCTTATAATGTCTTTGTAGAAGAAGATATATCAGCTTTAATGTATACAAAAATCAATCTTTTATGGTTTATGCTCTTTGCATCTGGCCTAATAAATGATTCCTTAATTCAAGGGCATAATGATCATCTGTGGTGACTTTCTAAAGGAGTTTTGGTTTTGGGTTTTGCAGTGAAGGTCCTAACATACATGTCCCCATGTCTTTTATTAAGTAGCCTCTCTGGTCAGAAAAGGCAGTTCTGTTATTTATCAAGATTCCACAAATGTTCAGGTCTATATTATATCTTATTCAGCTCTGTTGGTCTACTTTCTTGACTCAGTATTCCTATCACACTGTCTTAAAATATTTTAATAGGTTTTGATTTCTGGTAGAGTAAATCTTCAAGTCTTCTTCAAGTTTGTTATATATTTTTTTCTTTTTCTTTTTTTGGTCCGGTCATGGGGCCTGAACTCTGGGCCTGGGCGCTGTCCCTCAGCTCTTCAGCTCAGGGCTAGCACTCTACCTCTTGAACCACAGCACCACTTCCAGCTTTTTTCTTTTTGCTTATGTGGTACTGAGGAATCGAACCCAGGGCCTCAGGCATGCAAGGCAAGCGCTCTACCACTGAGCCACCTTCCCAGCCCCTTTTATTATCTTTTTATCAACAAAAAATTTCCTCTTTTTAAAAATATATCCCAAATGATATGTTATGCATTTTCAGGAATTAATATACAAGTATTCCATAAAAAATAAATAGTTTGATAGTAGAGATAGGAGTCTTTGATTAAAGTATAGCTTTCCTTTTCCTCACAGCTCTAGGGATCAAACTCCAAGGCCTCATATACCTGGGCAAGCATTTTACCTCAGAGCTAAATAAAGTATGGCAGCTCCAAACCCAAACAGGATTCTTAAAAAAAATGTTTTAATGCTGGTAATAGGGCTTGAACACAAGGACTGGGCATTGTCCCTAAGTTTTTTCACTCAAGGCAGGCAGTCTACCATTTGAGCCACAGCTTCATTTCTATCTTTTTGGTTAACTGGAGATAAGGTCTTCTTGGGCTGACTTTAAACTGCAATCCTTTCATTCAGCCCTCTGAGTAATAGGTAGAATTACGAACATGAGCCACTTGTGTCTCAGCCCTAACAGCATTCTAAATCTGGATAATAAAAGCATTTCCTCTCATCACAGGCTAATAGATTTTGTTCTTTTCTGCCAGACACATTTAATGTCAATATTAAGTAATTTACTAAATGCATTGTCAATGCCTCTAAACTTACCTTGCCCTCAGAAAGTTGCTTATTTTCTCTTGGGTTCTATAAAGGACTCTGGTGAGTTCAAGTGACTAGGAAAAAAAGTTACCTTAGAGGCATTTTGGGGGTAGTATTCAGACTGTAGAAAGTAAAAGAATCTATACCACCAGTTGGTATTAAATGGGGGTACAGTATATTTAAACAGAAAAACAGTCCCTGGCATGATCACTACATGGTAGGAGGAAACACAAAAATTTCAAAACAATCAATATGGGAAATACTAGTTATATGTTCCAAATAACACAAGCAACATTAAAGAGTAAACTCTAACCTGGCTAATCTTTGATCCAGCAATAAATTTCATAGCTGCTGTTGTTTCTTCTTCAGAAATGGGGAGGCCATCTAAATGTTTAAGAGTTTTTAATCTGCCAATAACACTCAGCCTCAATGTGGCTGGCTTGGGAAAAAGAGCAACAAATTAATTTTCACAAAATATTACATGTGACATGGAAAGGAGTGTTTATTCATTCCTTTCCATGTAGATTAAGACTGAGCTTCTTGTTTACTATGAATGCCTAAAAATAAAGGCTTGGCTTAATTCCCTCCCTTATTCCTTCCTTCCTTCCTTCCTTCCTTCCTTCCTTCCTTCTTTTTTCTTTCTTTCTTTCCTTCCTTCTTTCTTTTTCTGTGCCAGCACTGGAGCTTAAACTCAGGAACTAGGCATGGGTCCCTGAGCTTCTTTTGCTGAAAGCTCATGCTCTACCACCTGAACCATAGCTCTACATCTGGAATTTTGGTGGTTAATTATAGATAAGAATATCATAGACTTTCCTGCCTGGGCTAACTTCAAACCTTGATCCTCAGATCTTAACCTCCTGAGTAGCTAGGATTACAGGCGTGAGCCACTGGCTGGTTGTTTATTTGTGTGTGTGTGTGTGTGTGTGTGTGTGAGCGCACACTAGTGTGCTAGTACTGGGGCTTGAATTCATGGCTTTGCCCTTTTTTGCTCAAAGCTAGTGTTCTACCACTTGAGCCACTTCTCCCCTTCTGTCATTACTACTTGCTAGTTGGGAGATAACTCAGATTTTTCAGACTGGGCTGGCTTTGAACTCATCTTCCTATCTAAGCCTCCTGAGTGGTTCGCTAATAAACAATTGTTGAAATTCTAACAGAATTCATATTTTATGGTATGAAGAGGGGAGATCACATGCACTGTTGGAAAGTGACCACGGGAGAAAAGAATTAAAAGAACAACTGTAGCATCTCCTGTTTGTCTAGATCGGCAGTAAGCCAACAAGCTTCATATATAACTCAACACGGATCTCCATCCCTGCACATATAATTTGGCAGCAGGGAGACAGTTGATCTGTGATCACCCAAGAATTCTGCTTTGGCAAAAGAAAACATCATTCAGTTTTTCTGAACATAAAAGAAGAAACATAAATTTAGCAATATGATCAATTTAATAGAATCAAGCATTCTTCAGTACCTTTGAAATGTTGACCACAGCTTTATAATTTAGAAGCAGAAAAGACTCTTAAATTACATATGAGGCTTATTTAAAAACTTGGAAGCTGGGCTCTGGTGACGGATACCTGTAATCCTAGCTACTCAAGAGGCTGAGATCTGAGGATCATAGTTCAAAGCCCACCTGGGCAGGAAAGTCCATGAGATTCATGTTCAGTTAGCCATCAAGAAAATAGAAGTGGAAAGTGGTGCTGTGGCTCAAATAGTACAGCACTAGCCTTGAGCAAAACAGCTCAGAAACAGTTTTCCCAGGCCCTGAGTTCAAGCCCCTGGACTGGCACAAAGAAAAAAACTTTGAAGCTAGTCCTAAACATATCATTAAAGGTTTAAGTTACATATTTTATGAGGATAAAAATATTTAACCAAACTTCTTTTGTAAGATGATGTAAGTGTTAAAATGCAGGTTTATGAGGACAAGTGATTTCTGGACTTAAAAGAGAGAACAAACAATGCAAAATGCAAAGTATAACAAGTTCAATGTATCTATTAACTAGAGATGAGGACAGATAATAAATAAAAATGTTTCCTCCTGAGTAGTATTACTGTAACCACGTTATTCTTGGTTCTTGTGTGCCATTACCCATTACAGTAAAAAGTTCTGGCACACAGATCTATCAACTCTCTAGAGGTCTTGATAATGATAATGATAGTGACATTACTCTGAAAGCAATAATGCTTTCAAACTATTAGAGATTATAAAATCTCTAATGACATGCAAGTATAGCATTTTCTTGCAGCAGTATTTCAATTCACTCCATCAGTACACTGAATTCAATGTAGGAAGGGCTTAAAGGAAGTGTAGAAAAATATAGTTTGCCTATTCCTGGCTATTATTAAATAGAAAAGTAGTGAGAAAATGGCTTTGAGTGTTTGCTTTTCAAAAAACATGTCTGTTGCATACCTTTTGCCATGGATTGTGTTGAATATTAAGAGTGAGAAGGCTTGTGGTGTGTTTGCACAACACATTAATTTCATCACCAGATTTTTTCAGTTGGTTCCAGCTCAAGTCTAAGTGCTTCAGTTTCATCAGACCTCTAAATCCCTCAAGGGTTATCACATGATTGTGGCTTGCATCCAAATATTCAAGGTTAGACTGTAACATACACAATCAGAACTGAAGCTGATGATCATGCCTTGAATTTATAGAGTTTTTAAAATATGTCACAAGCTTGCTTATAATCACAGAAAGCCTATACAGCAGTTACATCACAAAAATGGTCAACATCACAAAAAACCTCCTAAGGAGTTTCAGGTATTTCATCTTTGTAGTTCTTAACTCATACTGTATTCTTGTAACATGGAGTACCAGTGTGAATGACCCAGGGCTTATGTAAACAGAGAATGCGAGATTGTACTCCTGGAACCACATATGTAGTTATTTTTTTATATGATATATAACAAGAGACACCAAAAGTTGGACAAAATTCATGGCCTATGCATATCATTACTACATTTGGTGTCGGATGTGTAAGAAGGCAGATGTAAGGCAAATAACATTTATAAATGTCACATTCAGGTAGAAAGGCCAAAGCAGAAAGAGAAACAACTTGAGTAATAAACAGATGGGAAAGATGAACATTGCATGTGAAGAAGGAAACTAGAAAATAAAGGGTAAACAGGGACCCCTCACCTTGTGGAGAACAAGCACCCCGGGAAAACAAAAGCAGAAGGAGATGGAAATGACATTAAACAAAGAACATTTCAAAACCAAGTCTGAGAAATTATTTTACAGTATTATTTCAAAGGAGTCATATTCCAGGAATATGTTTGTTAAGCAAATGAAATCTAAATTTAAGGCTTGTTTTAAAGAAAACAGCATGATGTAGGTAGTGTTTCTATGTGCTGTATTTTTTTTTGTCAGTCATGGGGCTTGAACACAGGTCCTGGGCACTATCCCTGACCCTTTTTGTGCTCAAGGCTAGTGCTCTACCTCTTGAGCTACAGTACCACTTCTGGTTTTTGAGTGGAGATAAAAGCTGAATTGGAGATAAAAGTCTCATGGGGACTTTTCTGCCTGGGATGGCTTTGAACCATGATCCTCAAATCTCAGCCTCATGAGTAGCTAGGATTACAGGCATGAGATACCTGCGCCCGGCAGTCTTAATCCATTTTGAACTGTTTTTCTGAAAGGACAACTTTTGTCTTTTTGAGAATACTTAGCTATGTACCAGTGGCTCATGCCTATAATCCTAGCTACTCATGAGGCTGAGATCTGAGGATCATGGTTCAAAGCCAGCCCAGGCAAGAAAGTTTGTGAAACTCTTATCTCCAATAAACCACCAGAAAACTGGAAGTGGCGCTGTAGCTCAAGTGGTAGAGTGCTCGCCTTGAACTCAAGAGCTGAGGGACAGTGCTCAGGGCCAGAGTTCAAGCCCCAGGATGGACAAAAGAAAAAAAAAAGGATTAAGAAAAATAAGTCAGGTTCTGAAGGACAAATGCCACGTTTCCTCTTAAATGTAGAATCTAGACCTAAGAGATACCCACAGATATGTATTACCTATTATATATGTATCATCTATGTAATATGTATCATATATAGAGAGAGAGAGAAAGTGAGGGAGAGAGAGAGAACATGACTGTAATTGTGTGACTGGGGAGTCAATCAGGAGGGGCAAAGGGGAAGAGGATGATGGAGATGAATAACACCAAAATACATTACATCTGTGTATGAAGATGGCATAAAGATCTAAACTTAAGACTTGTTTTAAAGAAAACAGCATGATGTAGGTAGTGTTTCTGTGTGTTGTATTTTTTTTTTGCCAGTCCTGAGGCTTGAATTCAGGGCTGAGGCCTGTCCCTGAGCCTCTATGGGTTCAAGGCTAGTGCTTTTACCACTTGACCCACAGGACCACTTCTGGCTTTTTCTGGTACAGTGGTGGTACTGAGGAATAGAACCCAGGGCTTCATGTATGCTAGGTAAGCACTCTACACTGAGCCACATTCCCAGCCCGAGGGGGTAAATTTGATAAGAGTACTTATAGACATGTATGGGAATATCATGATGTCATTCCATGTAAAACAAATATATGCTAATAGAAATGTTTAAAAGGAAGTTATTTTAAAATATGTAACCCAATTTATCATTTGTCCTTTGGTTTTGTGATTTAGTTTTTTGCTGTCCTTTTTATATTAAATTGATAGATTAAGTTTGAGTATATTTAAATTATATAATGGGATGATTTGGTAAGATTATGCTATGGAATTGTATAACTACAATCAAGTTAATGAACACAATCACTATCACCCACGTTGTACATCAGATACGCAGAACTTTAAAGTTTGTCCTTTTTTTTCCATTTTTTTCCTTTTGGTGCCAGTCCAGGGGTTTGGATTCAGGGTTTGGGTGCTTTCTTTGAGCTTTTTACACTCAAGACTCTGCCACTTCAGCCAAAGCTCCACTTCTGGGTGGTTAACTGGAGATAAAGAGTCTTGGACTTTCCTGCCTGGGCTGGCTTTAAACCTCAATCCTCATTCAGTCTTCTGAGTAGCTAGGATTATAAGCCTTAGCTACTGACACCCAGCTTGAAAGTTTTGCTCTTTTGACTAACATCTTCCCATAGTTCCCTCCTCTTAGGCCCTGACAACCAGCATTTTTACTCTGCTTCTATAAGTTCACCTTTTTTTAGGTTTCAAAAGCTAGTACTTACCAAGTGGTATACATCATCTAAACAAGTAAATTCATTAAAGCTAATGTTCAGTTTTCGAAGCCATGTTAACTTGGCAAGATCTCTCAGTTTACTCAGACTGTTTCCATGTAGATTTAGGCTCTGAAATAAATGCAAATTAAGATTACATTCTACATCATACTGAAGTATGGCTATCTAAAATGTTTCAAATAATTACACAAGCTAATTTGACACAGAATAAGAAAGTAGTCATTTTAAATAGCATTAAGATGGGAGGCCAAGATGGCAACGGGACACAGCTCTCTCCAACCCAAAATTTCCCCAAGAGACTGACAACAACAAAAAAAGAACCAGAGAGAAACAGGAGGTGGAAAAAAACAAAAACAGAGAAGCACAAAGACCCCTCCCCCAACCTTTACTGGCTGTGGGCAACGCACCAAGCCCTGGCCAGCCCAGCGGGGCGGGGGCTGCCGCAGTCCCAGAGACACAGGGGGTTGTCTGCAGATCACCCACGCAGAAGAGGCCTGAGGTACCAGTGTTGGACCTGCTGATCCAGGTGAACAGAGAAACCTTGAAGCCCAGAGCCTACACAAAGACCCTTCCCCCGTGAGCAGATGGGCTCCATCCCACCAAAGCTACTTGGCCCCACAAACTACACAGAACTGGGAACCCCAGAACTACACAGAACGCCAGTACAGAAGACCTGCAAGGTACTGGTGCTGATCCGGAGAGTGCAAACAGAGACAAACCTCAGTGCTCATAACCTGCACAGAGACCCCTTCACCCTAAAATGACACAGTACATGTTCTTCTCAGCAGCTCATGTAACTTTCTCCAAAATAGACCATATCATAGTTCGTGCAACAAATACTAGGGGATTGACATAATCCCCTGTATCCTATCCGACCACAGTAGAATCAAGCTGGTTCTCAATAACAAAGCATATTGCAGAAATTACTCAAATACATGGAAATTGAACAGCATACTTCTAAGCAACACCTGGGTAACAGAAAAAATTAAAGAAGAAATTATAAAGTGAAATAATATAATATAAATAGATAAATAAAAATAAATAAAATAAAATAAATAAAATAATATAAAGAAGAAATTATTCAGTGAAAATTAAGACACATCACAAAGAAACTTGTAGGACACAGCAAAAGCATTCCTGAGGGGCAAATTTATCACTCACATCAAGAAAATAGAGACAGACAAAGTAAGTAATCTCATGTTGCAATTAAAACTGCTAGAAAAACATGAAAAAAATGGAACCTAAAGTTACTAGATGGAACCAGATAATCAAATTAAGAGCGGAAATTAACAAGATAGAGAATAGGAAAATTATAAATAAAATTAATAAAACAAAAAGCTGGTTCTTTGAAAAAATTGATGGACCTTTGGCAAGATTAATTTAAAAAAGAAGAGAGAAAACCCAAATTAACAAGATCAAGGATGCCACGGGAAAAATCACAAGTGCCCAAGATATCCAAACAATTATAAGGGACTATTTTCAAAAGTTATACTCTCTAAAGAAAGAAAACCTAGCAGAAATGGATGCATTTTTAGAAAACTGCAAGTTGCCCAAACTGAGCAAAGAAGAAATAAATCAATTAAATAAGCCAATATCATAACCAGATACAGGAAGCAATCAGAAGTCTTCCAACTAGGAAAAGCCCAGGACCAGATGGATTCACAACAGAATTCTATAAAAACTTTAAAGAAGAACTAATACCTATATTCCTCAAGCTCTTCAGAGAAATAGAAAAAGAGGGAGCTATCCCAAAGTCATTCTATGATGCCAATATCACACCCATCTCCAAACCAGGCAAAGACCCAACAAAAAAAGAGAACTACAGACCAATCTCCTTGATGAACACAGATGCAAAGATCCTTAACAAAATTCTAGTTAATAGAATCCAGAAACACATTAAAAAAATCATACACTACGACCAGGTAGGCTTCATCCCAGAGATGCAGGGATGCTTTAACACACGTAAATCAATAAATGTAATCCAATACATCAACAGATCCAAGGTCAAGAACCACATGATTGTCTCCATTGAAGCAGAAAAGGCTTTTGATAAGATACAACATTCATTCATGTTAAAAGCTCTGGAGAAAATAGGAATAGAAGGAACATTCCTTAAAACAATAAAAGCCATATTTGACAAACCAATAGCCAATATGATATTTAATGGGGAAAAAAATACAACCAATTCTTCTAAAATCAGGAACAAGGCAAGGATGCCCACTGTCTCCACTCCTCTTCAATACAGTCCTGGAACCCTTAGCCAGGGCAATAAGGCAATAAAAAACATTAAAGGGATCTGCATAGGGAAGGAAGAAGTTAAACTATCCCTATTCTCACTTGGTCAGTTTATTAGTAATTGGCATGAAATTCTTTAATAGGAAATAGTTTCATGGGTGAAGGTATTTATCGGAGAATTCATAGCAATCAAGAATCAGAGTCAGGGATGCCATTATAAACTATATTTATCTTTTAACATCACACATTGGATTTGATTTTCTTATTGTATTCTCTTAATGTTATTTATTTTAAATTTTTTCAAATAATTTATTATGATTAAGTGGTTACATAATTTCCTAAATTTCACAGTATTGCGGGATAGTGATGCTTAGTTAAAGTCACAAACACATTCTAACGTTCATGGGGCAAATTGTCTATCATGGTATATAACATTTATGAGTTCTACGAGTTTTGACAATACAGTTATTTCTTCCACATTGGGTGGATATGCACATTTCTTTCATTTTGCATAGCATCAGCTGTTCCCTCTTTCCCACTCGTTCCCTCCCTCCTATCGCTGCCATTGATTTGCTTAGTTCGTTTGATCAATGTCTAGTGCAGCTGGTATCATTAGGTAGCTGGCCTTGTATCTATCTTTAGACTTCCTATCTAGTACTACATTCAAATTTAAAATATAAATTTCCTTTCTCCAAATTTCTTTCCTCCTATTACTTACCACAATATGACTGTAAATGTTGGTCTTTGCAAGAGAAACTATTGTTTTATCATCTAAAGCAATAAGTTTTGTTCGGGGCTTAATCCTGGGCTCCATTTTCATAACTTCATCATCAAACTTCAAATCTTGGGATAATACTGATCCTTCTGAAAATTTCTTGCTTTCTTCTAGAATGGCATTGTTGAGTGAAGAAAATAAGGAGTGAGCCTTGGCCTAAAAAAGATTATTAAAAAATATTGAAAATCCAGTTGATTTATCATTTTGAAAAACAAATAGGCTATATGGAAAAGATGGGTAAATTTTTCAATTATACAGTAATATCTATGATGAACAAAATAACAATAGAAAGTTTATGAGAGCAGATTACGATTGTAGACTAGGCATGGAGGTATCTACTCCCATTTAGTGAAAATTTCTGAGATAAGTTAGCAATATTTCCACAGAGGAGAGTGCCCCAACAAAGGCTGGAAATGGTGACACATAATCCAGAGGAATTGAACTGGGAGCAAAAAAGGTAACCTCTAGCCAAAACATATTCAGGAGATAGCCACTCTGATGACAGATGCAAAGAAACTTGATGCTTAGAGTGAGTGGATAAATGAAAGAGCAGAAAGATATTCTAGCTAATTATCAGGAAAATAAGTAACTGCAATAAGAATTGTGAATGGATGAGCAAGAGATACACAGGGAGAAATAGCTGTAAAAGATAAAGGAACCCAAATAGTTTATCAGAGAATTTTTTTAATCTAGTAGAATAGGCATTTATGATAAAAGAAAAAATAGGGTAGACACTTCATTAAATAAGAATATTTAATAAATGCTGAGAAACCAAATATATAGTAGCAGATCAAATTAACTGTCTAGAAGGCAATGGTGAGTGAAAATATTCTAGAAGAAAGAGCCAAGAAATGAATGTGTAAAATGGTGATGTTACATATGTAAATGAATAGAAAAATGATTGAAAGCAACCTGCTAACAGTTGATACCTTGGTGAGAAGGTGTGGTTGGGGCCTAAAGTGAAAGAAATTTTCATGTTTACTCTATAATCTTCAATATGGTTGGACCTTTTCCAGTGAGACTACAGCTGTATATTACTCCCATATATAACTGCAGAATAAAAATACTTAAGTGTTATAATGACTTGTTTTGAAAACTAAGACCATCACTGACCAGCCATTATACACTGACCAGCCATTATACATGCACATGCAGACACAGAGCAGGCTCTCACTCATTCACAGATAAAATATAGACTAGATGTCATGATTAGACTTCAAATTGCTATTCTGTTCCCACTTAAGAAATGCCTGTTTTTAAAACTTTACAACAAGCTGGGCGCTGGTGGCTCACGCCTGTAATACTAGCTACTCAGGAGGCTGAGATCTGAGGATCCCAGTTCAAAGCCAGCCCGGGCAGGAAAGACCGTGAGACTCCTATCTCCAATAAACCACCAGAAAAAACCGGAAGTGGCGCTGTAGCTCAAGTGGTAGAGCGCTTGCCTTGAGCTGAAGAGCTGAGGGACAGCACCCAGGCCCAGAGTTCAAGCCCCATGACCAACAAAAACAAAAACAAAAAACAAAAAACAACTTTACAACAATTCATACCATTGTGATATACTCATATTCAACGATGTATTCTGGCAAAACGAGTTCATGATCAAAGACAAACCACTTGTACTGTCGAAAGCCACAATCACAATTTCTTTGTCCTGAGACAGAATCTGGAGTAAACACAAAAACGAGCAAAACACTCAAAATAAAATACAGCTTTTCACTCTTGCAGAGATTAAATATATCATAGTAAGTTGGTTCTCAATAACTTCCAATTACTGAGTTTATAAATGAGAAAAACTTTTCACTCCTTTAAAAAGAATTCTTTAATTTTACTACATAGACTATTGGGTTTAATTTTACTCATGTTCTTTTTATAGTTTTTCACTTTGTTTCTGAATAAAGGATGTGCTTTATTTTTATGGGGCGGTCGTCATAGTTACACTTGGGTTTGAACTTAGGACCTGCCTTAAGCTTGCTACGGTGGTACTCTACTACTTGAACCGCACACCTCTAGCCCTGTGTTTTGCTGGTTATTTTCATGATAAAAGTCTCTGAAAATTTTCTTCCTGGGCTGGACTTAACTGTGATCCTTCTGCTCTCAGACTACAAAGTTGCTAGGATTACAGACGTGGCCAGCTACTGGTGAAATACTTGCTTTCAGAAGGCCATATGGTTTTTAAACAAATGTAGTACTCTAAAATCTTTGTAGTTTTTTTAACTTTTGAAAATTAGCATATGCCTATGCATGTGTAATCAAGATCGAAATGAAGGTAAAAATATTTTAAAAAGTATACGGAATACACAGAATTTTTGTCATTATTTTCTAAACAATATATTAGCATAGGATTTATAATGTGTTCATGTGTAATATAGAAAGTAATATAGTAATATAGAAAGTATTTATGGTATACAGGAAAAGTATATATATGCCATGTGCAAATGCTTTGCCATTTTATACGAAGGACAGGAGTATCCACAGATTTAGATTTTCATGGCTGAGGCGTAGCCCTAGGACCGATTTCCCACAAATACCTACAGATGATTATGTGTGGGAATACGCTTAATTACAACCTTATAATTGTGAACTACATACACATACAAAGAAGGATCATTGCAGTAGAGAACAAAAAAATATTAACAGCCACAAACAGATTTTTATAGAAAAGTTTAAAAACCTTTTTTGAGGCAGATGTTTAAGTTATAAGCTAGTATTAGCTTAAATATACATGTTCTGTATTCAGAGAGATGAGAGTTCATTCATTTTCTGACAGACATACTTAGTATATACTTCTGAGGGATGTAAACTGAATTAACCAGAGGATAGTTGGCTTGAGTGATGGAGTCTTGTTCATGAGCCTGAACAGTCCGGCCAAGAAAAACTTTCGTAATGAGGAGGATCCCTAAATATGAAGGAAGAGAAAATGATTAGAAATGATGCTTTTAGATTCATTGCTTGGAGAGATACCAAGATTTAGTGAATTCTGAAGATTTAAAGACTCTAAAGGAAAAAAGAAATGCTCATCTATTTAGTAGATAAGCATTTTAGTGCCACCTATCATTTAAATTACATGATAGGCACTAATGAGACAGATTAATTTTCCCTCAGTTAATAAAAATGCTTCTTGTATTTAATAATACAAGTGATTATTTTTTTTACTACATATAAGATGAAATATAAATTAGGGGAACCTAATTGTCTTAGAAAGCATGTTATAGGAGAATATAACTTTTTTTTTTTTTTTTTGTCGGTCGTGGGGCTTGAACTCTGGGCCTGGGCGCTGTCCCTCAGCTCTTCAGCTCAAGGCGAGTGCTCTACCACTTGAGCTACAGCGCCACTTCCAGTTTTCTGGTGGTTTATTGGAGATAGGAGTTTCACAGTCTCTCCTGCCCGGGCTGGCTTTGAACCGCGATCTTCAGATCTCAGCCTCCTGTGTAGCTAGGATTACAGGCGTGAGCCACCAGCGCCCGGCTAAGAATATAACTTTTTAAGATGGGAATGGAATCACTTCTTGCCTTTGAGTAAGATCAAGTAAAAACGAGACTGAGGAAGAATGACTTTAAAAGCAGCAAATAGTTTTTCCAAGTAAGGAGTCCTTAATTAGCTTAATTTTCTGATCGTTATTAACTGAAGGACTGTATGACACACATAATTTATAGTTCACTATAAATCATCCTAGCAGAACTATAATCTGGATCCTAGAATGTCATCTTTTAAAATTAAGTCAGTATTTTTTCTGGTGATGGTAGGTCTCAAACCCAGGACTTCACATATGCTAGATGAGTATTCTACCATTGAGTGCCATATCTCCCACGACAGCGGGAACCCTCTAGATAGGTATACCCCAAATGTCTATCCCTCCAATTCTCAATAGGTTTGATGGCTGAGATCAAAGAATAGGTGATCCTTAATGTCTGACCTGATCCGTTTTCCCCATTATATCTTTTTTGATACTGTGCATTGACTTCATGTTACAGCCCTTATGATAATCATAATTTCACACTTATATGTGATCATTAATATTTGTAAACACCATAAGGAAAAACTGTTGAATTTACATGAACTATATTCCTATCACCTACAGATACCTAAACATACGGTAAACATTCAATAAAAGCTTGAAGAACTGAAGAATGAACAGCAGAAGTGTTGGAGGTAAGAGACAACAGACATGGTGAACTAGTCTTTTTCCCTAGGCTGTGGGTAAACTCTCCTAGAGTTGTCCCACAAGTTGTTTCTTATATTTATATTTACGTGTATTCAAGCCATTGCATGGATTCAAACCACTGATGAATGCATAAATTAAAATGCCCCAAGTTTATTTTCTAGAAGAAAACTTATTGAAAATATCCATACACTTCACAATTTATCTAGCTGGTTTTAAAGTATACCTTGGTTTCTTTATCATTTTACATTAAGAAGACTCAATAAAAATCCTATCTTCAGAATGTTTTATCTGCCTATTGCATATATGGGCCAAATTCTCTTGTCTTTGTCTTATAGTTGTCTCTAATATATGTACTCATATGTATCTAAGCACATACATATACATGTTGAGTTTATTTTTGACATGCCATAATGAACAAAAGCAGGCTGTGAAGTGTATGTAAGCTGGACTAAACATTCTAAGTAAACATCTTAGTAACAAGTAAGTCTCCTATTAATGCTAATGCATAATACTATGTATTAGTTGACAGTGTGGGTAAATCAATATATAACAAGGTTGTGGTGTATTACTACACTGGTAAGTATGAAACATAATGGCTTGAAGCAAATCTCCTGTGTTGATAAAAATAATAAGTATTAAAATGATATGAAAATAGTTAATAAGGGTTGAAAATGGGGAAAGGTGAGAATGTGCCTAATGACAGACCCTGAGTACCACCAATAAAGTGAGAAACTGAAAAACAAGAAAATAATTAGCAAATTGGATGACTTAAGGCTTAGAAACACCATCCATTTGTATTACCGTGTCTGAAGAGCTCGTGTTCAACTGAGCTTTTCTTGTCATCCTTGTGCTTTTGCTGTAGCAACTCGAATCGGGGACATTCACATACACTTAGGCTGTTAGCAAGAATAACAGCTTCTTTTGTGGGAGGCAGCTGCAAAGAAAAACAACCTTTGTATTTGTGTTTCATGAAAATGACAATACTTTGACTTTCAATACAGATGGTTTATTATTTTATGCTTCTGTGTCTGGGCAAAGAAGTCTGTAGGCCAGACTCTCTGAAAAGAAAGAGATAACTCCAGGTGCATAACTTCATCATGTAAAGCCATAGAAACATCTTAAATTCATATGGAGATAGACAGTGATCAAGACACACTGTATTCATAAACTGCTTTGTTGAATGGCCACTCCATTGTACAACTACTTAGAGATAACAAAAATATTTTTCAATGACAAAAAACAAAATTGGTCCCTGGAAAAGCAGCCCAAATCAAGAATTACAACACTGTGTGGTACAGAAACAGAAGTGTTCGATGAGCATTCCACTAACATTCTTGTTAACTCCAAAAAGAAAGTTCTGAAACTGGAGGAGTGGCTCACTGGTAGAGTGAGTGAAAAGGTCCACTAAGCCAAGCAAGTGAGAGTGCGAGACCCTGAGTTCAAATCCTAGCACCAGCACACACAACAAAAGGCTTACATCAGTGAAGGTTCTTATTGATATCATAATTCTTGTCTACTAATCTACATTGTTTTCTAGAAGCAAATGTTTTTATTGTTCTAATGCATGGAAATCTAATATTTTTTTGTGCCGGTCCTGGGGGGAACTCAGGACCTGGGCACTGTACCTGTGTTGCTTTGCTCAAGGTTAGCACTCTACCACTTGAGCCACAGCACCCCTTCCAGATTTTTCTGTTTATGTGGAGCTGAAGAATCAAACCCAGAGTTTCATGCATGCTAGGCAAGCACTCTACCACTAAGCTACTTTCCCAGCCCTGGAAATCTAACTTTTCATTGCAACATACTTTCTTCAGAGTGTTATATCAATAGTATTTGCCTTACATCTAACTCTAAAAAGGAAACAAAAATCTTTCTCTTCCTCTCCCTCTCCCCTCTCTCTGACTCTCCCCCACCTCTTCAGAAGACTAGAGCTAAAGGAATTAATGAAATCTAAGGATAGAAGTAGAAACTGGCAAAGGCATGATTTGAACTCAGGCCAATTTGGTTCTTGGCACAATCTCAGAGTTTTGAATTTACCACTAGTTTTATATTCATAGCCAAACCATTAAGAATTGTATTATTTCTAAAATGTGACCTATATATTTTTTTCTATGGAACATACTATCCAAAAAAGTTGTTAAAAAATAAATGCTTAACTGTGACTCATACGAACACAAATTATATACTCCTGGTAAGATAAGTAATCTTTTCAGACTGCAGTGAACATCAGTAACCATATGAATGTCATTGTTGGAACAGAACATGACTATGGCCCTCATTTAAGGGAGGGAAAGATAGGATATATACCTAATAATTAAAAACATAAGACATAAGACAACACAATATGTTTGGTAACATAACACTTTTAAATGAAATGGTTAGGAATTAATTTGACAAGGAAATGGGATTATGGCTAAGCCTCAAAATAGGATATAATCTAAATAAATAACTAGAGGTTTAAAAGAAAATTATTTTTTAAAAATGAGAAAAACGTAAGAAGGTATAGAAATAGATGCTATGGACATAAATCGTTTGCTCACCTTGAATTCTATTAAGCATTTACTAAATAAAGCCCTGGTCCTTAATTAAAGACTAGTAGATAAATGGACATAAATGATTACATTTCAATACAAAAATATTCTAGAGTTACAATTCTCAACTAATTGTCACTTAATCAGCACATGCTTAACAATTTAGGATTAACTGGCATTTTCTGCTCTTTTAACCCAAAGTCAATAGATACAGTTCAAAGATAAAATGATGCTTTTTTTTTTTCTTGGTCATTGTGAGGCTTGAACTCAGGGCCTAGGCTCTGTCCCTGAGCCTCTTTGTGCTCCAGGCTAGTGCTTTACCAACTTGAGGCACAGTGCCACTTCTGATTTTGAGTGGTTAATTCGAGATAAGAGTCTCTCAGGGACTTTTCTACTTGAGCTGGCTTTGAACCATGATCCTCATATCTCACACTCTTGAGTAGCTAGGATTACAGGCATAAGCCACCAGTGCCTCTCTACATGGCACTTTTTATTATACACTGATGTGCTTCACTCTTATCCTGTCATGTTACGATGTTAATTTTGTTCTCAAAGTTGCTATGCCATGTACTTGGTTTTGAAGATGGAGATTACATAAAGCAATGAAACACAAAGAAGAAAAGCTGTTGTGTTGAAAATTAAGTGGAAAACTGGGTAAATTTCAAGAGCATAACTATTTAAAATGTCTGCCAAAACATGTGGGTGAAGGTAATAATAAAGTTTGGCCAAGGCAGGTGAAACATACAAACTCTATGGATTTTGTACTCCAGTTGTTTTGCAAGAATCTTGTGTGTGTTCAAATAGAAGGAAACTAAAATTAATAGGAAATATGGCTGTATCTGTCACAAGAAAGACTACTCAGAGTTTCAATTTCATGGTCAAAGGCTTTGGCCTTCCCTAGAAGATGACAATGTAAATTGTGTTTTAAGTTAATTAAAAGAGTTGTTAAGTAAATAATTTTTTAGCAGCTTTCCATTTTAGTGACCTTCTCTGATTAACCTGACTAAATTAATTAACTGATTTATTAATAGACTAGGGACAAAGGCTCCCACTATTGCAGAAATCAGAAAAGGCTTCACAGAGAATGCCCTTAAGCTGACCTTTGAAGGTTGAGTAAGTTTATCACAAGAAAAAACAAGCAGGAAATACATGTTATCAAAGGGAAACATAGCTCTAAGTTGCATTTAGGAGAATCACAAGGGCAGTACATACTTAATCTGGATATTTGGTATATCTGGTAATAAGGCGTTAGGTTGAAGGTCGTTTCTTCAGCTCTACTCCAGCCACCCTTCTGCCTTAAAAGACACAGACAACCTAAGCCAATTCTCTCATTTCAACTACTTACACAGCTATCTATTACATTAGAGGCCATGAAGATGATACATTTATCTAGCTTGTTAGTGTTCACAATAGCATAGAAATCTAATTCATGTGATCTTCTTACATGCTATACACCCTATTTCCAGGACTGTAATTGATGGCATTTGGAGAATAAAGAGATAACTAACCTTTAACTTCATGTTATTTTCATGGCTAGAGGTAAGAGGAGGAACAGAAATGACAGGACAATCAGAAAATAGGAGAGAAACAGTATAATATTATGGACGTCAAAGAGAGTTTCAGAGGAGAATAAGCAATTAGTAGTCCCTAATATTGTAGTCAATAGTGGTACAACATCAAAAAATTTTGATATACTAACCACTGGTTATTTCTGGTATATCTTGATAATATTTTATTTAGTTAGACAAACAAAATATGATTATTTCAATGTATGATCAACATAAGAAAGTATAGTCTTTTTCATGTTTAATAGTTATGTGTAAGAGGCGGACACTCTCGTGGATAGAACCACACAGAAAGCTATTAGGAGAATTAAAGAAGAAAGTACGGTTAGCTACAACAGTAGCTGGTGGTAGAAAACATATATGAAGTGTTACTCCATTTTTATTCCACCCTCTATGCCTATGATGGTTTGTGGTTATCTGGATTAAATGTGAGATTCATTCTATCTTCTAAAACATTGAGCGCCTCACCTCCGTAGTACCCTTCCAGAAAAGACAGTAAGGGAAATCTTACCACCAACTTCTGTTAGACCACACCCCCTGTCCCCAACTCAGGTCTGGGCTACTGCAGTAACTCCCTCACATAGTACCTGCCATTTGCTCCTACTTATTCCAATTCATTTTCCAGAGAACCCAGATGCTAGTTTTGGTGATTTTTTTAAAAAAATTGTGGTAAAATACACACAAGATCAAATTTACTATTTTAACTATTTTTTAAGCACACAATTCGGTGATATCAGGTATTTTCACACTATATTGAAACCTTAATTATCACCACTATCTATCTTCCCTATTTCATTATCCTCAACTGAAAATCTGTACCTGTTAAACAGTAAGTCCTCATCCCTACCTCTGGTGACTTTTGTTCTACTCTCTGTTTCTAGGTTTGTCTCTCTTAAGTAGTTCATATACACAGGATCATTCAATATCTTCTTTTCTCTTTGTTTAGCTAGAGTAGAATGTTGGGTAGCATGTCAGCCCTGTAATTTTCTCCGCTAATGGCTGCTATCTCTAACCTTTTTTTTTCCCATTTAGCATGCTTTCAGTTATTCTGTGTTGTCAGATGTATCAAGATTTCATTTTGCTTTGTAGCTGTGCATATTAATGCCTTTTGCTTTACCATTTATTTTGTGGCACACGTCTAGGTTGTTTCTTACTTTTGGCTATTTAAATAGCGATATATGAATATTGATGTGTTGATACCCAAAACCTTTTAAATTCATTAGCTCATGAAATCCTACCAATGTTTCTCCAAATAGATATCCCTGTTTTCTTCATTTTACAAATAGGAAGAAATGAGCACAAAGAGGTGAGGTGAAACAGCCAGGGAGGAGAATCACTAGGATCCAAATTCAGCAAGGTTACCATTTTATCTATATGAAAAGCACTGGGAGGCACTCCTTAGCTGTGTGCCTGGAGATCTGAGAAAAGCTGATGGACATCTGGGAACTCAGCAGCCACCAGTGGCAAAGGTATAGACAGTGAAGTAGAAAAGAAATGATGACAGGGGAAAAAAAGTAAGAATTAAAGAGTAATATTTTTTCAAAATGAAGATGATTTTGGAGAGTGAACAAAAGATTGAAGATTACTAATAACACAGGTCGAAATTTTCTTAGCAGAGACCCAGAAAGGTTGGACAAATGGGACTGAATAAAGCTGCAGAGCTTCTGCATGGCAAAGGACATAGCTAGCAAGATCATTAGAAAGCCCACCGATTGGGAGAAGGCCTTCACTAACCATACAACAAACAATGGTCTCATGTCTAAAATATACTTGGAACTCAGAAGAGTAAATACCCCAACAACAATTCCTTAAAGAAACAACTGCCCGATAAATAAGTGGGCTAAAAACTTAAAGAGGAAACAAAAACTTGAAGAGGAAATAAGAATGGCCAATAGACACACGAAGAAATGCTCAACCTCTGTAGCCATAAAAGAAATGCAAATCAAAACAACATTGAGATTCCACCTTACCCCAGTTAGAATGGATATAATCAAGAAATCTAATAACAACAGATGCTGGAGGGGATGTGGCCAAAAGGGAACCCTACTGCATTGTTGGTGGGAGTGTAAACTTGTTCAACCACTTTGGAAAGCAGTATGGAGGTTCCTCAAAAGACTCCACATAGAGCTCCCCTATGACCCAGCAATCCCACTTTTGGGCATTTACCCAAATGATTACAAACAAGACCATACTAAAGCTACTAGCACAACTATGTTTATCGCAGCATTATTTACCATAGCTAAGATATGGAACCCACCCAGATGCCCCTCAGTAGATGAATGGATCAAGAAAATGTGGTATAGAATTCTATGCCTGCATCAGAAAGAATGACATTGCCCCATTTGTTAGGAAATGGAAAGACTTGGAAAAAATTATATTAAGTAAAGTAAGCCAGGCCCAAAGAAACATAGGTCCCATGGTTTCCCTTATTTGCAATAACTAGTACATGTGTAGGACAAGCAGAAAAGGCCAAAAGCTACATATGACCATAAAAGATGATGTTACGTGAAATGAACCCCAAGATAGGGACACAAATATCTTTTTTCATTCTTGCTATTGTTTCTAACGTATTTATAATGTACTATGTGATTTTTTTTGTTTCTTTGTATGTTCCTCCCCGACAGTATAACCCCTGTTTTCACTGTATTTGAGGTTGGTGCCCTGCGTCTTGTATATATACTTCTCTAATTCGGGGAGGGAAGGGAAAAAACAAAATGCTTAAATAAGGATATAGGCTGACCCATTTTAACAATGAGATGTACAAAACACTAGGTTGACAATGAACGTTACAACTTCGGCGGGCTGGGGGAGTAGCTGTGGAGGTGGGAAGGAAAGGATGGTAGGGGGAAAACGAAGGAGGAGGCAACAATGCTCAATAGGAAATGTACTCATTACCTTGCTCGTGTAACTGTAACCCCTCTGTATATCATTTTTACAATAAAATACCAAAAAAGATTATTAATAGATGTATGTCCAGTTAAAACAGGTTCCAAAGTTATCAATAAAGAGATTACAACATAAAAATGGGATCAAGTAGAGAGCCATGCAGATAAAGCAATGAAAGGATGATAAGCCAAAGAGGGACGATGCCAGCCTTTCTGTGATGTCCCAAAGGTCTTGGGAATTAGCAGTAGAATTTGCCATGAACCTGGACAGAAGCTTGAATGGTGGCAGAAGTTCATGCATTAGGAAGAAAGCATTGCTCTAAGTACATGTTATGCTACCTTGCTTGCATCACTGTCTTTGAATCCTTTTTCGAGTATTTGGAGCAGTTGCTTTTTCTTCACTGTAACTTCTGGATCAAAAACATAAAAAAGGCATTCCAGCATCTTTTGATAGTTCCTTGAGAGCAATTGAAACAGAAAAAGGTTGAGAATTTCATAAAAACTTCAGATAACTACATGAATTTTCATGAATATTTTCTGCTAATTGAACAATCCAGTGTCCTTATTAATACTTCTATTCCCAACCCTACTTTTCCAAAAGAAATCCAATGTGGATAAATTAGGAGGTTGTCTCAGCTGTGCGAGGTGTAGGAACAGGGTATATTTTCAATTTAGCTAACTTTAAACAGGAAGACTTTTTGTAAAAAAAAAAAAAAGTAAATAATGTTTAATAATAAAAATAAAGTAAAATAAAATAAAAAATTGTTCACAGCAGAATTTAACTTCTTACTTTGAGTTATGTAAATCTTCACGGTCGATAAAACTTTGAAACTTCTCTTCAAATTTCAGTCTCAGAATACGGTTATTAACTTTAATCACCCGTTTTACTTTCACTCCTGTAATACCATATGCTTTGAAGTCCCATGTACAGAAACGTGACAAAATCAATTCATAGCAAGAATTAAACCTAAGTAGGAATGTAAAAAACCAAAAGAAAAGATTTTCCTTAATATTTAAAAACACAAAGGTACATATGATAAATGTTATGGCTCATACTATGTGGGTTTTTTTTTTGCTAAAGATACATCATATTTGAAACTATGCATAACTCAAAAGAGATGCTGAATTTTAAGATATGGTACAGATAGCTCTCTTCTTTATTATATATATTTATTTATTTTTATTGTGAAGGTAATCTAGAGGGGTTACAGTTACATAAGTCAGGTAATGAGTACATTTCTTTTTGTAGTCTCACCTCTTCCTTTTTTCCTCTCTAATTATTATATTTGTTATATGTAAAAGCTATGTTGGCTGAGAAGATGCCCCTTCCTGAAACATATTTTTGGGGGAGTCAGTGAAACTATGTATTCTTGGCATGCATATATATATATATATATATATATACACACACACATATATATGTTTACATATATATTTTTTTTTTGCCAGTCCTAGGGCTTCAACTTGGGGCCTGGGCACTGTCCCTGAGCTTCTTTTGCTCAAGGCTAACACTCTACCACTTGAGCCACACTGCCACTTCTGGATTTTTCTGTTTATATAGTACTGAGAAATTGAACCCAGGGCTTCATGCATGCTAGGTAAGAACTCTGCCACTAAGTCACATTCCTAGCCTTGACTTCCCTATTAATTGACAGTACCTTCATAGTTTTCTTTGCTGATTCTTCTCTTTTTTTTTTCTTTTTGTGTTGCTGGGGATTGAACCAAGGGCCTTGTCCATGCAGGCAAATGATTTACCACTGTGCTATTAGCCCTGTGACAGACTTCAAAATGCTGGATTTTGGCTGGAAGTGTGGCTTAGTGGTAGAGTGCTTGCCTAGCATTCATGAAGCCCTGGGTTCCGAACATTCCTCAGTACCACATACACAGAAAAAGTGGGAAGTGGCTCAAGTGGTAGTGTTAGCCTTGAACAAGAAAAGCTGAGGGACAGTGTCCAGGTCCTGAGTTCAAGCCCCAGGACTGGCCACAAAAAACAAAAATAAAAACAACCCCACAAAATTTGTTTTACCCCAGTGATCATTATTTCATTTTCTTGTATCCACAAACTTTTCCTGGGTTGCTTTCATTTTTCCCCTTCCTGTCTTCTTTGTCCCTGTCTTTCTCTATCTCTCTCTCACACACACACATTAATAAATCATTTTATTTCATTTATAGCCTTTCTCTCTACCCAATGTAGCAAAATATACCCAGACTTGACCTACCTCCTTGATATTTCTGTACAGTCTAACTTATTCAGCACACACTTGCTCCTCCTGAATGTTTTTCAACTCAGTGGCATAAACATCTACCTGGAAGCTCAGATTAAAACTACTGCAATGGACCTTCCTCTTTTCCTTATCAGAATCTAGGTCATCTGCATGACTGGCTGTAATCTGAAATGCATGCTAAATATTGTTTCAGCATAATCACTGCAACTATAGTCTAAATCACCACTACCTCTTATTGGACTACTTGTAAAGACTTCCTAAGTTAGGATACAGAAGTAAAAAAGCGAGTGTACCTGTTCCACTGAAGCCTACCTTTCAAAATAGAAGATAAACAAGTAAAGCCATAAATAAAATAATTTTTTAATGGATACAGGCCTTAAAGAAAGGGAAGCTTTGGGTAAGTAATGAGCAGGGGCCTACTTAAGATAAAGCCTTTGGTAAGATCATTCAGAACATGATCTGAGAACTGGATAAGACAGAGGGGCCAGCTATGTAAAGAGCTTAAGAATGAAATAGATACAGAAGTGCTACTTGACTCTCTGCTGCTCTCACCTGGCCATTCTCATAAAATTAGTATGTGTATTAAAACTACACAGAATCAAGATTAAGATAAAATTGATAATTAGATCATTTTGACAAGGGAGTGAGTGATCTTAGATGGGTTATTTTTGCCTTCCATGACTTAATCATATAAACAATTAGGATCTGAACTTGTGAGTTAAAATCACAAAGTTAAATTTCCCAGTGTCTATCCCTGAGCCTATTATCTGAGTTCCTGATTAAAGCATCTCACTTTATTTCCATCAAAGGCTTAATTAGTGCAGATAAGAGCTGACAGATCACTCATCCTACAGCTAAAAAATAAACTGCCTAAACCAGGTGGTGAGAGAGACAAATATAAGTAGTGTCCCAATGCCTGCTAACCAGTTCAAAGGTAATGCTAAACAGCCACATCATTAACTGAAGAAACACATTGCCCCTCTGGTAGATTGCTGGGCCTAAATCATTCAGATCTTTCTTAATCAGCAAGTCCTGGAATTACCAAAGATCTCTGTATTATATTTCCCTATACTCTGATAGAAACCAGTGTGGAATTCTGTGAATGTCTCATTAAGGCTTGAAGGTTCCCAAAAGAATCGGTAGAAGTGATCAGCTGACACTAGCTTCTAGTCTATTCTCCCAGGAATGGAAGAACCAGGGGCATAGAGAGCTTTATGAAGTGAGATCCTTTTATAGTTTCCCTACAAAAGCTTTCATTTGCTTTTGTTTTTTAACAGAATTCTTTCTTGTGTAAGCTGTGGCATCAAGGATTATCAGAAAGACCATGTAGGGGTCTCTACTGATTGGTTAACATCTACAGCATGAGGGTATTATGTTATGAGTAGTAAACTAGTCTAGACAAGAACTTAGCAAGACCATTTGGTTATGGATGGATAGCAGTGACATGGAAGAGAGCCTGCAGCTCTTGGCACCTTATCACTAGGGAAACTGAGGGAGAGAATGCAATTGAGACTGGCTTCACTGTCTGTTGAGCCTGCATAACCAAGTGGATATCGAAATCAGAAACAATACAAACAAGTCAAAAATGATTTTCACATTATCTTGTCCATTGCTATCAGTGACCTTTTGCAGGAGATTCTTTCCCTCACTTGAAAGATGAGGTTCAGATGGATTAAATGTTGTTCCAAGATCATGCAGAGTCTGAACCTCAGTCTTCTGTGTTTAACTCCTTTATATATTGTAAATGCGCTTAGCTTGCCTTGCCACTTGGACATTCATATAGAAGTGTCCAACTGACAGGAATCCAAGGCTTTAGGTTTTAGCTCCATGTGATTGGCAAGGGAAGGCAATGAAAGCAGAAAATGCCTAAGTTCCAAAACCCAGAGAAATAGAATTATGAGGAAGGAATGGTTAACAATAGCAAATAATTGTCAGGCAAGTAAGGGCACCTCAAATTTGCGTGTCCTCACTCATTCAATGAGACGTGAATGTGTAAGTATACACACTGATGTACATCACTGACTAAGATAATCATATCGAAGCCATCCACTCTTTTTAATAAATGTAGAATACCCATGTTTTTAGATGGTTGGAGCTCAATCTCATCTTTTAAATGCATTTTATAATCCTAGACAATAGTTCCATAAAAATTAACTGACTCACTTAAACCAGTATGTTCTCAGTGTAAACCAAAAAAGTGTCACTGCTATACTCTTAAAATAGCACAACACAAAACCTTTCACATAGCTGAATTAAGGAAATTGTTAAATGACTATAAAGTGATATAAAAATATGAACTAGGGTTATATATTGCACTGTAAATTCAGCCCTGTGCTACATGTTTTGACTTTTTTGACACAAAAAAATCATATTTTCCCACAAGCAACTTATAGAGTCACATAGATAGATTGGTGGTGCATTACAGTTATTTTACTGTAATGACACAGGATCTATAACTAGACTGAAAGCTTCTGAAACCCAAGTACAGGATCCTGTGTTTTAGGGTCCCCACTTGATGGATGTTGTCTGGTATCAACACTTAACAAAATTGTTAAGATACAGGTAAATAATATGATCTTGATTAAACTACAGGAGCAACAACAACCCAATCAGTCAGCAAGTCACAGTAAAATAAGTATTTTTAATTTAAAAATATATAATTGTATTTCATTAAAAATGGTGCTAAGGAATAATGATAGGTAGTTAGAAATCATCGATGCCTTTTTTTCCCTAAAGTAATTTTAATAGAAATCCTTTTTATTAAAGTCATAGCTCTACTCAAAAACTTTTTGAAAATCCTTGGCCTTAAATTTACTAAAAGAAAAATCAATATTTAAATAAAACAACTGGAGATAAAGTACATAGCAATTAAAGTACTTCAGCTGTTATTTCTCAACATACATAAAAGATAAGATTCAAGGTGACCAAGCTGTACAATACCTAAAGTAAAAAAAAAATAGTCCTTGAAATTCTGCCAACATCTATTTTATTATCTCCCTAAAATTAATCAAGGTTATTCATATTAAAACCAAGTAAGCAATTGTCAATCCTACCTAACTGTTTGCCTAACAAAATTTTAGAATTAGTTTTTTTAGTCATTTTGCTTTTACGTTTTTTAAAAATAATGTTTCATCAAAGACTTGCCTTGCATGATGCTAAAAAGAAACAGAATATATTATTATTATTATTCCTTTTTTTCCTCTCTTTTTTTCAGTCAGGGGACTTCAACTCAGGGCACAGCTCCGCTTATGGTTTTTGCATGATTAATTGGAGTTAAGATTTTATGGATTTTCCTGCCTGGACTGGCTTTGAACTGCAGTCCTTAGATCTTAGCCTCCTGAGTAGTTAGGATTACAGGTGTCAACCACCAATGCCCAGCTTATTATTATTTCTAAAAATCACATCTACTATTTAGTTAATTCTGCTTAAGTTAGGTAAACACTTTTTTTTTTTTTTTGGTAGATCGTGGGGTTTGAACTATGGGCCTGGGTGCTTTCCCTCAGCATTTCAGCTCAAGGCTAGCACTCTACCACTTGAGCTACTGTGCCACTTCGGTTTTCTGGTGGTTTACTGGAGCTAAGAGTCTCATAGATTTTGCTATCCGGGCTAGCTTTGAACCACGATCCTCAGATCTCAGCCTCCTGAGTAGCCAGGTGTGAGCCACCGGCACCTGGCCACATTTAAATAAACAAACAAAAAAATTGAAAACTTATTTGTGTGCCATACATGATTCAGTTTTTGACTTTAAAAATCAAGGCCTTGCCCAAAGAAACATAGGCCCCATGGGTTCCCTTATTTGCAACAACTAGTTATGTCTAGGACAAGCAGAAAAGGTCAAAAGGTATGTACATATGACCATATGTACGTAAGTGAAATGAACCCCAAGATAGGGACACAAGTGGTTTTATCTTTCTTGCTGTTGTTTTCAATGTATTTATAATGTACTATGTGATTTTTTTCTTGTTTCTTTTGTATGTTCTTCCCCCATGGTATAACCCCTGTTTTCACTGTATTTGATTCCAGTGCCCTGCATCTTGTTTGTACATTTTTCTAATTTGGGGAGGAGAAGGGAAATAACAAAATGTTGAAATAAGGATCCAGGTTGACCCATTGTAACAATGAGATGTACAGACACTATGTTATAAATGAACTTCACAACTTGGGGGGGGGGGATGTTAGGAGAAAAACAAAGGAGGAGGTAACAATGCTCCATAGGAAATGTACTCCTTACCTTACTCATGTAACTGTAACCACTCTGTACAGTATCTTTGTAATAAAAAAATATATACTAATAAAAAATCAAGGCCACCTTTATGTGGGACCTGGCATGGGTACCTATTATATAAGTGTTTGTGGTTAAGAAAACATGGTAACTACTGGAGATCTAGACACAGCGATATGAAAGAAAGTATTTAAAAGGTCCCTTTCTCTCTGGGAGAGCATGGTACATTTTTCTACTTAGGTGTCCTCAGACCCTGGGGAAGATTTTACTCACAAAGGAGTAAAAATCCACCCCTAATTAAAAGCAGGCACATAAAATAATTCTTAACAATGATATCCTTTTTTCCCCCCTAAATTGTTCATATAAACTTGACATTCTACTCCATAAAAATAGGAATGTGTTTTTATCACATAATTTACTTAAGTTCCAAGGCAATGTACACGAGTACATTCCAGCTTCATAAGCTTTCTGGATCATCTCCACACACCTAGGTAACCATATGGTTCTAGGGAAATCTTTGGTGTGAGCCATTGGTGCCTGATGAAAAAAATTATTTTTTAAAGCTATACTTATAAATCAAATAGATTTACCAATCATTAGCTCGAGTGCCTTCTTCAAAATGTATGTTTCCCACAGTCTCCAATTCAATTAACAAAAATGGGATCAGTAACCCATGACTTCTCTTCTTTTGTTTTACTTCATTACGATAAATTGTTTCAATTCTATGAAAGAAAAAAAAATACAAGTATCAGCATAATCTAAAACTCATGCCACTGAAATTTATTATCTTTTTTTAACTTACGTTAAATATATTAGTTTTTTTTTCCATAAGTAAAGCAGGACTGGTATTGAGTTGAACCAAGTAAAAGATGCCCTATTACTGGTGATTAAAATCACCTTGAACTTTGTTAGCCTTATTCAGAATGTGTGAAGGTGAGAAGACTATTCAAGTTTAACATGGCCACCATTTTTCCAGTATTCTCAGTTGACCTTAGCTGACAGTTATTGTTAATATTGTTATAGGCAAGTTTTAATACCTTAGTATATTTTTAAAAGATACTATAAACTGACCACATTATGATGTCACCTAGCTGGTGAGTTTGGACTCCAGTGGTGCTTTTAGTTTGAGGTCAGAAGAGCAACAATGTGACCCAAAGCCACTCTGAGGAATCTCACTGTTCTTAAGAACTGCAGAATTCTATGCCTGCTCTGAACAAGTGATACTTATGTCCTAGGAATTGGAACTAGAACTGGGGCTGGGAATGCATTTCCTGTTTTACTTCAAACAGTAATCCTTTCCAGTAACCAATAAGGCAACTCAACTCAACCGATGGTCTCAAATATTCTTATTCTCTCATGTTTCAAATCTGAATAACTAGACAATTCATTAAACATACTCATCTAGTTTTTTGTTCCAGAATGTTACCCTTTCATTCAAGGCATTTAATTTGGTCAATAACTTCTGATGTAGGCTTGTGTTTTCTGTGGCAGGCTTATTTTCCTTCAGTGCTTCAGGTTCAGCTGCTTTATTGTTAAAGGATTTATCACTAGAGCCTTTGCCAAACCCCCGGAGCTCAGCCAGTTCCCGTTCCAGCTGTTGAAAAGAATGTACCAGACAACAAAATAAAAATGAAATATGGTAAAGGCAAAGTCTAAGTTCGAGTAGTAAATTTGGAGTGAGATCTACAAGTTAATTTAAATAAGTAGAAATTGTAAGGTCTGCCTCAGGCCATGCAGGCCTAGTGCAGATACCTCCCTACCTCTTGGCTAAGTTTCCGCCCCAAGGTAACTGGCACACCTAGAGGCAGTCACCTCCCCCTTCTGCTAGGTCACTTCCTGGGCTGCCTCTGGGCACACCTCCCTACGGACCACAGAGAGGTCCCAGGCCCTGAGGTCACTTCCAGATCCAGTGTGGCCACACCTCTTCCAGGTCCCTGGCCTAGATAACTCCTGGCCCGGGAGTAGGTTGCCCCTTTGTGCAGGCAGCAGTTCAGTAAATAAACTTCTTTTGCTGCCTGCATACCATGTGGTATTCTCCATCAGCCATCTAATTAAACATACCTATTTAATCTACCTTACAGAAATCTAGGTAATAAATAGCTAAGCTTCATATCACATCAAATGTCTGACTTCGACTTTGGTGCAAGTTCCTGCAGCTCATTTGATCTTGATCAAATAAAGACCTTTTATCTTATTTTAGTTATGTGAGCACAATTGAATTTATAAATGACATAAGAATAAAATGAAGGAAAATTTCTCAAGCATTTTTCAGTTATTTTTTTTACCTCTGTTTTCCCCATTGTTTATTTTCTCTATCCTGTCTTTTTATTCGTTTTAATTATTAAAATGATGACCTACAATACTTAACAGATATGATGAATTGAAACCTCTTTATATAAGTACCTAAAGATAATTTAAAAGAAAGAAATAAAATATTACAGAATACAAAGAGTCAAGTGCTGGTGGCTCATACTTGTAATCCCAGCTATTCAGGAGGTTAAGATTTGAGGATCACAGTTTTTAGCCAGTTGGGGCATAAAATTCCAGGAAACTCTTATTTCCAATTAATCACCAACAAGGCAGAAGTGGAGCCATGGCTCAAGTGATAGAGTACTAACATTGAGCAAAAAAGCTCAGGGACATTGCCCAGGTCTTGAGTTCAAGCCCCAGGACCAGTACAAGGGTACTTGAAACATGTCTCTCAATTGAATATAAATGAAGCAAAGAAATACAGTAAATGAAATATTGTTCCATTTGCTTATATTCAAGCCAAAATAAAATTAAAATGCTAGCTTTGGTGTAAATAAATATTTAGGGCTAGGGGTGTAGCTAAAGTGGCAGCATGCTTACCTAGCAAGGTTCCTAGTATTTCAGGGGGACAAAAAGAGACCAAAAACCTGAATAATTTTGCTATTTTTAACTCACTTGTTTTCCAGTTTTTCAATGATTTTTCAACTATGGTCTTTTGAGGAAGAAGTTAATCATAGTAAAATAAACAAAAGCTTTTGTGTTTTTGTTTTTTCATTTAGTTCCTTTTTCCTCAGTTGGCATTTATTTTTGGCAAAATATAAACTGAGGATCCAACTCCTCTAGTTTGACTGTTTCTCTCTGCCTTTACCTTAATAACTCATTATTTCTTCATACTTAAAAATACAGTAAACGTTATATATATATATATGAATATATATGGTTCTATTTTAAATGGAATAGTAAATATGCCTTAATTTTTCAATCTGTTTCTTCTCCTTCTCTCTCTTTCTTTTGGTCCCAGTCCTGGGATTTGAACTCAGTGTCTGGACATTGTCCCTGAGTTTGTTGCTCAATGCCAGCCAGTAGTGTGCTACCACTTGAGCCATAGCTCCATTTCTGGCTTTTTGGTGATTAGCTGTAGATAAGAGTCTCATGGACTTTCCTGCCCAGGCTCTTTGGGCTTTGATCCTTAGATCTCAGCTTCTGCATAGCTAGGATTACAGGTGTAAGCCACTGGTACCTGGTCAGACTCTTACTTTTAAAACAGGAAATCTAAAATAAAAATTTTAAATTAGCCCAACTTACTTTAAATAAAAAACACATATACTATAAAGTACAACTTGATTTAAAGTTCCTACTTTGTTTATACCTTAACAATATTACTGGAAAAGTGGTATTTTAGCACCTAACATAAGAAAGTAAATTTTGAGCATGATCTGCTGGTGTATAATAAAAATGCAGCTGAAATGTCTAATGGGTCTCTAATTCTTTTGAATTAAAGCTGCATCTTTTGAATTTAAAGTTGTCTCACACAGCTTTAAAAAGTTTCACAACTACATTATTGTGTATCTTTTTTAAATTGCAGGTTCTCAGGCACAGAAAGGAAGTAAGTTAACTACCTAAAAATCAAAAGCTTCTGGGGGCAAATTTGACTTGAAATTATCTATATGTAAAACATAATGTATTATAACATGCACAATATAAATATATGTGCTAATAAATACAACTATAAAAGATTTGCTATTGTTTGGTAGTTTTCTTAAGAGATAGCTATTGAAATTTTACTTGATTAAATCTTACCGTTTTTTTTGCAAAGCTGAATAACTTTATTCTTTCTTCTGGCAACTTCTGCAATTTGCATTTTCTATCATTCAGTTTTTCAAGGTCTTCAGTAAGGTGCCTCTGAACAGTTTTTATTCTCATATTGTAATACATTATTTTTTTCATTGCTGTAGTCTAAAAGAAGGAAAGAAAACAATACAAGATTACATAAATACAAATTACAAGTGATCATTAATAAAAGTATGACATAAGAATTTGCAAGTTTTATTAGATCAACAATAATGAAAGCTGGAGTGACAATAGTTCACTGATGTACATTTCAATTTAATATGCAAAATACAAAATTCCAAAGAGCCTATTTATGGATAATATTTAATGTGGTACTCTTCACATCATTTCCAGGATGATGACACAAAGAGGTATTGCAGACATGAATTTAATTTGTAAAATACTATCATTCAACTAATGACATAAGATATATATAAAACTACATTATTCGTATTTTATTTACTCATGAAGAAATAAAGAAATTAAAGAGAATTTAAAGCAAACATTAACTCATTTTTTTAGAGCCCAGCTAAGAATAGGATTTAATTTTTCCCTTCCAAATCTATAAAAGGAAGTTCTAGAAGAATTGGTTTAGACAGGGCATATATAAAATTGTCAATCTAATGTAATTATTTCTAATTTCTTAATAAGAGTAACTAATGTTAACCATGAGATGTCAACTGAATACACCATATACAATAGCTAAATGGTGTTTGTTTTTTAAAGCTATATTAAGAATCTCCTCTTTGGGTACCTCTCGTACAAAGTCTTTCTACTTTCATGCCCTTTTTTAACTTTCAGATAAACTCACTCTGCTTTTTTTTTTTAAAGGAGCTATATGAATAAAATGTTAACTAAGTATGCTATGAAATGTAACCCAACTTTATCTAGAAATGATAAAGGCATTTCTCTTTATCAAGAAACACATATCCCAAGTACATTAGAAGATGTGTATTGTTTAAGACATGTATTTTTCTATGTTGCGGGCTCTTTTTACTTGATTTATTTAGTTTATGATGTTCAACCTAAATCCTCAATTTGTTGTATGTTTTTACTAAGACAAAATTTGATCCCTTGGTTTCCTTGAAGACCAAAAAAAGAACTAAAAGTCATATAGAAGTATGCTCAATGACAGTTTCATAGTGTTTTTTTAAATAGCATTTAACAATTTACATGGGCTGACATATGTATTAATTCCTTAGGTCCTACAATAATCTGTGGCAAACAAAAGATATTACTGTCATCACCATCATTTAAATAGTTCAGAAAACTTAAGTTTGATGAGGTGAAAGGGCTTGTTTGCCCAAATAATAAACTCAGCTAGGGCTTAAATCCAGATCTCTTTTATTTGAGTCCTCATGTTCAGCCTTCTCTTCATGATGGCTCTCTAGTGGGCTTGACTTTTGGTTTTGACTTTGTTTGCCACTTACAAGTTATACAAACTATTTCAAAGTCACGGGTAAAAATATGTAGAACCAATCATAGTGTTGAAGCTCATCACACAGAACAGCTACAACTTGTTTCTGAGTGGTAGTGAGGAAACTAAGCATTTAGCTGGGCACAGTGGTTTACAGCTATAATCCCAACTATCCAAGAGGTAGACATCAGAAAGACAGTGATTCAATGCCATCCTGGGCAAAAAGTCAAAAAATTAAAATTAAAAAAGGCTATGCCCAGTGGTATTTGCCTGACATTACTGCTGTGCAGGAAATCTAAATAGGAGGATGGTTTTCCAAGCCAGTTGGGGCAAAAGAAAAAAAATGAGATTCTATTTGAAAAAATAATAAAAACAAAATGAGATGGGAGATAGCTCAAGCAGTAGAATACCATTATAAGAGACTATAAAAAGATCTTCACATTGTTCTTCAAACTATAGCACTCTGACATTTGCAAGGCAGAATCAAACATGTGAGACTATCAGCAGAACCATCTCTTAGTTTTCCTCACAGCTTCCTCTGCAGTTTCTTCCTCCTCATCCCCACAACCTTTAGCACTCAAGTATATGCAGCCCACCCACACCATTTCCTGTGATTCATGAGCCCATGGCTCTAAGAGCCATCTTCCTGCTTGTACTTCTCCTATTTATATCATCAACCCGAGAAACCCTCTGAAAACAGCAGATATCTATTCAACCACATATTGCACATATCTCCTTGGATGTTCAAAGACTGTTTAGATTTTGCATGCCTAAAATTAAATTGAGTTTTCCTTTTAAGCTCACTTCTACCATATCCTTCCTCTTCTCGTCAAGTAACGGTTCATTCTTTTTATTGTTCAGATGAATAACTTAGATTCTTCTCTACTTCTTTCCTCTGATCAGCAAATCCACCTGGGTTCCACCTTTTAACTACAACCAGAATCCAGAATCTGACTACTTTGTACTGTTTTCTCTATTAATATTGTATATCAAAATACCCATCTCTCTCAGCTAAATTTGCCATAACAATTTTCTAACCTGAAATTCTTAATAGATTATCCAAAAGGATCCCTTTTAAACGTAAGCAAGCTTGTTCATCCTAGGCCCAAAATCTTTCAGTGGTTTCTGTCTCCTCAAAGTAAAAGCTAAAGTATTTACAACCTGCTACTCTCACTAAAACGGCCTTGTCTCTCTTCCTCAAGCACTGAGAGAGCCATAGCGCCCTCTGTTGTTCAAATGAGAGAGGCATGCCTCCCTTGCTGATGTTGAAAAGATATTTTTTAGGTATGCACAAGGCTTGCTCCCTCACTCTCTTCAGGCTTTTGCTCAAATATTGCCTTATCAGAAAACCTTTTCCTGATCATTCTACAAAAAAACATCCAGCAGCCTTTCTTTTACTTCTTGCCAAGAATCCCTTTGTATTTACTCATTTTATTTTGCTCCTAGTATCTGTCATGCTAGCACCTGACATGCTAGCTGTTGATTGTCTGTCTTCTCTCACTAGTTTGATTTGGTCAGTCTGTTCTGAACTGTGCCTGGAATATAATAAGCATTAAATACTTGAACACTATATCTATTTTGCTAGCAGGTTTCTCTTCCCTTTTGTAGAGTCTTTGCCTGATGTTAAACAGTGCAAGTTCCAAAATTATGGTTGATTCTGTGAAGTTTTGTTCCTGCTATTTTAACACTTTGAGAAGACATTCATCCCAATGACCAAACATTTTCTTTCTTTTTCTTTTTTTTGCAGGGGTGGAGGGTCCGGTCGTGGGGCCTGAATTCTGGGCCTGGGCACTGTCCCTCTGCTCTTCATTTCAAGGTTAGCGCTCTACCACTTGAGCCACAGCGCCACTTCCAGATTTTTTTTTTCTTTTTGCTTATGTGGTGCTGAGGAATCAAACCCAGGGCCTCAGGCATGCAAGGTAAGCGCTCTACCACTAAGCCACCTTCCCAGCAAATGACCAAACATTTTCTAATGGACAAAAACACTAACACTTTGCTCAGTATTCCAAGACAGTAGATATTTTAGATTTGAGGATGAAGAAAACACTGTCAATCTCATAACAACAGTGAAGAGAATGGAGTATGAAAATAAATCCCTGGGTAGCAAGAGAAAAGAAACAAATTAAGCTAAATGGAGAAAAGACATTCCTTAGCAATACTGATATGAAGATGAGCCACAAGAAAAGGGTGGAGTTTCCCTATTCTTGGCACATTCTAGTCACTAAAAACTGGATTGGATGACTAACTGCATAAACAAATGGAGTATGGGGAATGGCACTGGACTGTAAGAGAATTAGACATAGACTAGGGGATGATTATTTAAAAACATTAAGAAATTACTGACTTTTTGGTAGCATCACTAAGTAGTCTCCTTATGGGGAAATACACTGTCAGCAGCAACTTGGGAACTAGGCCCTTCAGGATTTCAGAAGGCAGTATATGAAGATACACTCACACCTCAAAGAATCTCAGAACATCTTTAAGAAGGTCAGTATATTCTTTGGTATACTACCACCAACCATAGACATTTTATAATTGATATACCATGTCCCAGGTAAGAGGTGATTGATTACCTGCTACATTACTAATTTATTTAAGCTTATTTATTTTTGGCTATTATTGGGATTGAACTCAAGGCCCAGTTTGAGTCCAACCCTTTTTCTTTAAATATTTTTCAGATAAAGTTTCACATTTTTGCCTGGGGCTGGTCTTGGACCAGATCCTCCAAACTAAGCCTACTGAGTAGCTGGGATTCAGGCATGCACCACCATAATCAAGTTATTACATGGGATGAAGTCTTGCCTAGGCTGGCATTGAGCTGCAATCCTTCTTATCACTGTCTCCTGAGTAGCTTGGATTAAAAGCTTTGGATGTTGGATAGCATTAGATCAACTAGTCAACACTGATCCTTTTTAAAAACCTTTCTTCCTTCCTTTGTTCCTCCTTCCTTCTTCCTCTTTCCTTCCTTCTTCCTTTCCTTCCATCTTTCTTTCCTTCCTTCCCTCATTTCTTTCTTTCTTTTCTTTCTTTCTTTTTGTCTTTCTTCTTTCCTTCCTCCCTTTCTTCTTCCTTCCTCTCTCTTTTTCTTCTTTTATTTCCTTTCTTTCTTTTCCTTCCTTCCTTCCTTCCTTCCTTCCTTCCTTTCTTTCTTTCTTTCTTTTTTTCTTCCTTCCTTCCTTCCTTTCTTCCTTTCTTTCTCTCCTCTCTCTCTATTTCTCTCTCTCTCTCTCTCTCTTTCTTGTCCTGGGGCTTAAACTTAAGGCCTGGATGCTATCCCTGAGATTTTTTTTCTTAAGGCTAGCATTCTACCACTTGAGCCATAGCACCACTTCTGGCTTTATCTCTGTAGTTTACTAGAGATGAGAGTCTAATGGACTTTCTTGCCTGGGCTGGCTTCCAAACATGATCCTCAGATCTCAGACTCCTGAGTAGGTAGGATTATAGGCATGAGCCACCAGTGCCTAGCTAACATCTCTTTTAGGTATGTAGAGATTATAAAAAATATTTTAAGGTATTTTGCCTCTGAGATTACTACCAAATTCTAGTATGAAGGTTATCATTAGTATGCTTGTATATGAAACTTCCTGCTCACTGAGCAAAAGTAGAACTGCAGACAAGAACTGACTAGATAATTCTGCCTGCTATATGTGGATATAGCCAGAATGATGCAGTTAACTAATACAAAGTTAAGTCACAGATACCTGATCAGAAATTTACTTACATCAGCCAGTTCCTTGATTTGCTTTGCTGACACATCAAAGGTGTCAAGTCTTTGAAGACTCGGCAAGTGATACAATACATGTGTGGAATAATTACACAGCTGGCACACTGGATTGGTTTTATACTGAGGATCATTCAGACATAAATCCTTCAAGTAAGGAAGCCTGCTCAAGTTAGTAAGGTCCTGAAACAACAGCAAGGATAATATTCAGTTACTTAACTGTGAATGTCTATTTCTAGAAGAGATATTTCAACACTTAAAATCACTCACAATCTACTATAATAAATGCATTCAATCACATACTTAAATGCGTGAAATAATTCAGTTGGCTAAAATATTTCTCTTTGTGACAAACTTAAGTCTTGAAAAACTTAAGTCAGAAATGAGAACAACTTAATGCTGACTCTATACAACTATGCATTTTATAAATGTATTGGACCATGTATCTCTGATGGTGGAGCCATCACCTGAACACATTTTTTTCATTAGAACATGCTAGACATACGCATGATCAGATAGGCTTTAGGAGGGAAGGTGGGAGGACTAGCTTATGTAGTTTCATGAGACATTGTAAGAATTGTCCTTTCCTGTGAACATGATGAGAAGCCAAGGGAGGGTTCTCAACAGAAGAATGATTTGATGTGGCATATTTTTACTCAGGCTGCTGTGTAAACAGACTGTAGTAGAGAAAAGGGGAAAAAAAAACAGGAAAAATTGTTCCAAAGATCTTCTAACCCTTCCCTTCAATAACATAGACGAGAGGTGATGGTATCTTGAACCAGGTTGATAATGATGCAGATGTAGTACGTCCTCAGCAGGAGGCAACAGAATTTGCTGATGGGTTGAGTATGAGGTATGAAAGTATAAGAGGAGTCAGACATGACAAGGACTTTGGCACAATTAACTGGGAAAATAGAAATGTCATATAGAGAAATGGGGAACAGAAGGCCTGATGGAGGGAAAACTGCTTGAGTAGGAAAGGAGAAATCAGAGCTCCGCAGAGTTGTTCTGGGGAGTTGTCAGGGAAAGCAGTTGGAGGAGTAATGAATAAATAAAAGGTATTTAAAGCCATAAGACATGTTGAGATTTTTTTTTTTTTTAGAGAATGAGCATAGTCAGAAATGAGAAATGAGAAATAGTTTTGGGACTGACCAGGAGCTGTTAGACCCTAAGAGACAATGGAATCCCAGAAAGTAAAGCAACAAGGCAAAAAGTTTGGAAGAAAACTAAGGGAAAACATGATCTCGAGAACCAAGTAAAAAGTTATTTGTTTACAACAGTGTCAGATCATTAAGGCAAATTTAGTAAGATTACTCTCAAGTTCCCTGAACCAAAAATAATGACATTATTCCTTAAAAGGGATTATTTAATCTATTTTCTGCAATAAGAAGGCTCATAATCCAGGTTATTAAAAGCAAATTATTCTATGTAAACATACCTTAAAAGAACTTATCTGGTTACCAGAAAGGTTTAGTTTTTCTAGTTTCTCATTGGGATCAAGACATCGACCTTTAATTTAAAAACAACATAAAAGAAAAATTGAAATTTGTATTCATCTTCTTTTAATCTCCAATCATATTAATAATGACCACTATTTCTTTCATATTAAGAAGATTAATGGAACAATGCATAATTAGTGATTAATCAACATTTTCACATCTTAATCATGGGTTTAGAAAGGAGTTGCAAAGATATCAATCAAAGAAGGTCTAAAAGAAAGAAACAGGGTATTCTTTTTTCATGCTGACAAAAATCATTGACACATTGCTTCAGATTCAAATGAACAGTACATACCAATGATGCTTATTAGATTTCCAGCAAGGTTGAGATCACTTAAATTCTTCAAAGAGTACAGGCCCTAAAATTTAGACAACATGAGATTTAGGAATAAAAACCATTAAAATCTAAATTTATAAGCTGTCTCTGATCAATCTGATTATTTTTCTCGGTGCTCTGGGAGCTGGCTCATGAGCAGAGATGAAAATGGGTAAAACGAAGCCATCTTGGCCTCTAGTAGAAAAGAACTCATTGGAAGAGGGAGGACAAGGGAGGACAGAAAGATAGGAGTGGGGTGGAAAAAGAACACATCTCACAGTGTGTTTATAATCTTAGGCAAGTTACACAACTTCTCTAAACTTCTTTGAAAAAAATCCTTTAAGGACCCTGGCACCAGTGGCTCATGCCTATAATCCTAGCTTCTTAGGAAGCTGAGAGCTGAGGATGCCAGTTCAAAGCCAGCCAGGGGAGACTTTGAGACTCTCATCTCCAATAAATCACCAGAAAACCAGAAGTGGCTCTGTGGCTCAAGTGGCAGAGTTCTTGCCTTGAGCTGAAGAGCTGAGGGACAGCGTCCAGGCCCAAAGTTCAAACAAAAAATAAAATCCTTCAAGGAAGAAATAACAGCTTACCTTTCATGGTGTTGTGAGGAGTAGATGATGATGTATACAAAGTTATCTGTATATTATAAAATGCTGCACACATATTAGTTCCCTTTATAATTACATTATTTGTAATTATTTTGGCCCTTAACATTAGATGATCTTAGAATTGTGGGTTAAACTCCACAGGAATAATTGGCTTTAATACAAATTATTGAAATGATCTTACCTCAATATTTTTTATTGTATTATGGTTCAGCCAAAGAATTTCCAATTTGATTAATCTCTCTAAGTTTTCTATTTTGGAGATTTTATTATAATATAAATATAGTTTTTCCAAATTTTTACATTCTTGAAGACCTTCAATTTTCTGTTACAAAGAAGATTGAATAGTGTTTGTCACTAGTCTTTATAATAAAGTTGGTTGCTAAGTACATTTAAACAATATCATTTTATTGTACAATCAATATGCAGAAAAATGTTTGTAAAAAGAAAAAAGTATAAATTCTCCACCTGAATAGAATATGTTTAATTTAGTGTGTTTTCATTATTATTATTATTATTATTGTTACTATTGCCAGTCCTGGGGCTTGAACTCAGGGCTTGGACACCATCTCTGAGATTTTGTGTTTAAGGCTAATTCTCTATCACTTCAACCACAGCTCCTTCTTCAGATTTTGGGTAGTTAATTGGAGGTAAGAGTCTCACTGACTTTCCTGCCTTGAGTAGCTAGGATTATAAGCATAAGCCACTGATGACTGGCTTTAATTTTTTAATCTACTCTTATTATTATTTTTTATGGTCGTGGGGCCTGAGCTCTGGGCCTGGGCGCTGTCCCTCAGCTCTTCAGCTCAAGGCTAGTGCCCTACCACTTGAACCACAGCACCACTTCCGGCTTTTTTCTGCTTATGTGGTGCTGAGGAGTTGAATCCAGGGCCTCATGCATGCAAGGCAAGCACTCTACCACTGAGCCAACTTTCCAGACCCTCTACTCTTATTTTGTAGGGCTATAATATATATGCATATATATTCTCAATTTTAAATATATACATACATACATACATACATATATATATATATATATATATATATAGTTTTTGTTTGTTTGTTTGTTTTTTGCCGGGCACTGTCCCTACACTCTTCAGCTCAAGGCGAATGCTCTACCACTTGAGCCACAGTGATACTTCTGGTTTTCTAGTGGCTTATTGGAGATAAGAGTCTCACGGACTTTCTTGCCTGGGCTGGCTTTGAACCTCGATCCTCAGATCTCGGCCTCCTGAGTAGCTAGGATTACAGGCGTGAGCCACTGGCACCTGGCCTTTATATGTTTTTTAAAAAATTTAAATCAGCTGAAATGTTTCCTAATTGCTCAGGTAAAATATGTAATAACTACAAAATATTTTATGAGGCTTATAAAAATTACTCTAATTATGAAAAGTTCAAAAAACTAATTGTGCATTATTTAAATGTCAAATTTTTAGCTCTTGTTAATAATACTGCAACAATCCATGCATATATTTGCTTTTGCTTTTGAATTTCTTCCTTATGATAAATCGAGAATATGGATTTTTGAATCAAAAGGCATATACCTTTTTTGGCTCTTGACACATTTTACAATATTGCTTTTCAAAATAGACATTTAACCAATAGTGTCTAATTGAACCATTTCCACTAATAAGGAATGGTTATAATTTGAGTACTGAAAAATTGAGTATGTTTATGATTTGATTCTTCTCTTACTTTTTTCTTGCATAATTTGTGTCTCACTTTTTTTTAACAAATAAATTTGTCTTTTGCTGATGTGTCTTGTTTTGATCCCAGCCTCATGCATATATTTCAATGCATTTTTTTTCCAAAGCCAAGAATTCAGGGTAAGATACTCCATATAAAAAAATCTATGTTCAAGCTTACCTCTATGCAGCACTCAGCAATCCAAAGTTCTTTAAGCTGTGAACAAGTCTCTAACCCTGAAATTTCTTTTATATCTTGCGCGACAATCGTAAGACTTGTTAAGTTAGGAAACAATGTTAATCCAACTATACAGGGATACCCTGAGAAAAACATCTCCAGTTTTGAAGTGTCTGATCCTTCTTGTCTAATCATCTCATAAGACAGACCATTGCAAAAACACTGTTTTAAAAGAAAGAGATCAAGTCATTTATATCAAGTTTTAATTGACTATTAAAGATTTCTCCATTAGTTTGAAACACAAGTATATTTCTTGCCTCCCTTCCTCCTTCTCTCCCTTCTGCCCTCCCTCCCACCCTCCTTCTCTTTCCTTCTTCTTCTTTTTCTTCTTTTTTTTTTGTGAGGAAAGGTGACAGGAAAATAGGGAATTAAACTCAGGCCCTTATGCAGTCTAAGCAAGAGTCTCTAAAATCTGTTACGGGGCTGAGAATGTGACTTAGTGGTAGAAGGATTGCCTAACATGCATGAAGCCTTGGGTCTGATTCTTTCCTCAGTACCACATAAACAGAAAAAGCGGAAGTGGCTCTGTGGCTCAAGTGGTAAAGTGCTAACCTTGAGCAAAAGAACCTCAGGGACAGTGCCCAGGCGCTGACTTCAAGCCCCAGGACTGGCAAAAAAACAAACAAAAAACATCTGAGTTCTAAAATCTGTTACTGCTTTGAAAATATATTATTGTATTGTTATATTCATATTTATGTACGGACTCCATTTGAATCCAAACTAGTATTTTTTCAGTGCTTGCAGTATTTTTATCCAATTTTAACTTATATTTCCTCATTAAACATAAAACAAAGAAAAAAAGAAAGAGATCAAGTTATTTATTTTAAAGGAGAAGATGATATTTGTGATTAGACATTATGAATTGTCCTTTGTACTATGCCATTTTGTTATTCCCACAAAAGAGAAAGTTATGCCACATGCATGATTTTTCGCTATTTCCAAAAGTTATGGAGTAGGACTGGGAAGGTGGCTCAGTGGTAGAGCACTTGACTTTCATGCATGAGGCCCTGGGTTTAATTCCTCAGCACCACATAAACAAAAAAAGAAAAAAGCCGGAAGTGGCGTTGTGGCTCAAGTGGTAGAGCGCTAGCCTTGAGCTGAAGAGCTGAGGGACAGCGCCCAGGCCCAGAGTTCAGGCACCACGACCGGACCCCCCCCCAAAAAAAAGTCATGGAGTAGAAAGAATTCCCTTCCAGCTAAGCCTTCCAGCTCCAGCAAGGAATACAGAAATATTCCATTTAATACTCTTGCAAATATTACTGAAAAGAAATTAGGCTTTGACTCACCAGTTCTTTAATGAATTCGTCTTGGTTTAGATTTTCACTTTCAATCATCTTCCATTAAAATAATGGTCATAATATGTCTATTAAAGAAAATTTAAAAAATGAAATAAGTATTAGCATCATATCATTCCAAGTTGAAGTGAAACTTGAAGCTACAAGTTTTGAACACCAACTGTGGTTTGAAATCTGCACATAGCACAATGGTGGGTATCTGTTGGCATCTGTTGACAGTCCATTCTAGCTTTACAGTTTTCTGCATTCTGAATTTAATGTTTTCTTACATTCTAAATTTAATTATGTTATTAAATCTCCTTTTGGTTCTCATTCTACCTCCTTGGCTCTAATGAAGCAAGTCCATTTCCCCTTGTATGAGAAATCTTTAATATTTCAAGAAAATAATCTTCTCTCACCTATTTTTTAAATTTTATTTTGTTGTAAAGGTGATACACAGGTTACAGTTATATAAGGCAATAAGTACATTTATTGTCCAACAGTATTACCCCGTCCCTCATTTTTCTCTCACTTTCCCTTCTCCTAACTCCCCCTGCCTGGTCCTGGTAAACTGTAAAGTTCATTTCCAACATAAGAGTCTTGTGTCTTGTGAGCATTGCTGTTGCATCGGCTCACCCTTTGTCCTTTGTTTCACCATTTTGTTATTCCCCTTCCCTTCCCCTAAGCAGATAAAGGCATATACAAGACAATCAAAAACAGTGACAACAGGTGATAAACCAAAGGGGGAAACAGAAAGAAAGAAAGAAAGAAAGGAAGGAAGGAAGAAAGAAAGAAAGAAAGAACTTCAGATAGTATGTTAAATCACCTATTTCCTTAGCTTGCTCCTAGTTCAATGTTTTCCTTACTCTTACTAAATATTCCTGTTTTCCTCATGTGAACAAGATCCATTTTATCTTGTTATTCAACTCTGGTTGAACCTGAACACAGTACTCTGTTTTCTTTTCTTTTTCTTTTTTTTTGCCAGTCCTAGGGCTTGAACTCAGGGCTTGGGAACTGACTCTGAGCTTCTTTTGCTCAAGGCTAGTACTCTACCACTTGATCCACAGCACCACTTCCAACTTTTTCTGTTCATTTGGTACAGAGGAATAGAACCCAGGGCTTCATGCATGCTAGGCAAGCAGTCTACCACTAAGCCATATTCCCAGTCCTGAATACAGTATTCTTAACTGTCATTGGACAGCAGAGGAAAAAAAAATATTATTATCACCTTACCTGGCAAGATGATAACTAAATGAACTTACCAACTCCTTTTTCAATACTGAGGCTATGAACCAATTAATACCTAAATAGCTTCAATAAAATTTAACCCAATTTTAATAATTTTAAATATTTTCATTATATAATTTCAAACATACTATCTAAAATATAGAAATCTTGTTTTTAATATAATCACATGGCAAGATGTGCTAAACACTATATAATTCCTTTTATTACAATAACTCTCCCATTGATGTATGTACTTATGTGCATATGATTATATAAATAAGGAAATAAGCATGCTAAGTTGCTGGCATGAGTTGCCTTTGATGCAGGTTAAAGCTGATGAATCTAGAATAGAAAAATATAGTAAGAGTAGGATAGATCTATACAAAAATAGAAAGAAAATAATAATCCTTTTTAGAAAGTATGCTTAGTATTACAGAGAGTGAAATCAAAGGTACCAGGGAAAGAAGTTTTGCTAAATGTTTAATAAAATCCTTAAATTTAAAGAAGCAATGGTTGGGGAAGGGACACCTATGAAAAATCATTAGGGAGCAAAACAACAGACTTTCAAAGATGCACAAAGGACTACTGCGCTGCACAGCCTGTATTGGTAAACTAGGGACAATTTGAAAGTTCAGGTGCACCAATGTGGTAAGTATTAAGAGGTAGGCCCTTTAAGAGGTTTATAAGGCCCCCTTCCTTCATGAATGGAATTATGCTTTTTGTAACAAGCCTGATGGGGGGAGAATTGTCATATTTCCCCCTTCTACCTTCTGCTATATGAGGATGTCACTGGACACAGATGAAAGATCTTTATTTTCAACTTCCAAACTTTCAGAACTGTAGGAAATAAATTTCTATTGCTTTAAAACTATCTAATCTTAAGTATTTCAAAGACACTGGATCAGGAAGTTGAAGAGAGGCCCTAAACTAGTGCCACCAAGAAAATATACAAACAAAAATATTATCCAAATATACTATACTCTCTGTGCATCCCTCCCTCATTCATCAATGCATGTATCAAGGGCACAATAAATACGAGTTAAGAGAATGATAGGAATGGGAGAAAAGAGAAAATTTCCCTGATCAGGTGGAATCGTAACAGAACTCTGAAGGAAATAAGGGAATGTGAGCCATATGGAAATACTGGGAAAATTCTTCCAGGTAGAGAGAACAGCAAATGTAAAAACTAAAACAAATGCAAGGGGAGATACAAGAGGATACTTGGCATATTTGTATTATAACAAGGGCAAGGATGTAAATGGAACACAGTAAGGAAGTAGAAACCATTTGGGTATGAAGTCAGAGAAGTATGGTGGGATCAGATTGCATGTTATCTTGTAAGCCCTTGTGATAATTTCAGATTTTCTTCTAAGAAAGAAAGCTGTGTGAAGATTCTGAGTGAAAGAGCTATGTTAAGTATTACAGAGAATCCCTCTAGCTACTCTATTAACAATGGCTATGGGTAAGAAGCAGAAGCAAGGGCAGTTGTAATCAAGAGAGAGACACACGGAGACAGACAGACAGACAGAGACAAAGAGAGAGACACAGAGAGAATGGTGGTTGCAGTAAGATGGCACTGGTTAGATGATGGGTCTAACTGGGTAAAATGTTGCCATTACACCTTTACTTCCCATCGGCAATTGAATCTTTATTCCATTCTTGCTCAAGTCTTGTTACTTACTGAATGCTCCCCTTCCACACACACACACACACACACACACACACACACACACACACACACACACACACACACACGGGCCTAATTTTGGACTTTCTAAATTGTACTTTTAATTCTATTTAATCCTCACATAAACAAAAAAAGAAAAAAGCCGGAAGTGGCGTTGTGGCT